TCCTAGTACCATTCCAAAACAATAAGTGTCAGAAATGTTGATGTTATTGAAATGTAATAAAATCATTAGACACAATTCCATTTGTAATGGCCACTATTCATTTTCTATGACTTAGCTATATTGTAGGTTTCAGAAGGTTACTGAAGTTCACATAGCAATCTATGTGAATAATTAAACATTCTACCAAAACAATAACTTTTAAGACTACCAACACGCGCACGCACACAAAAACTTAAAATTTACAAGTAAGTGGAAGTTGAGAATCTGTTTGGACAGTTCCTTTCTCAAGGTTTGTCCCCCAAACAGCTGATTCACAGAAAAAGCCTATATTCAATAAACTAATATCCTGCTCTCCATGTTGGCTGAAACTGAAGAGTGATGTCTAGATGACAACTACAGTACTAGCACAAGTATAAACACTGGCACTATAGAAAAATATACTGATAGTTTAGTGTGAACCTTCTTGTAATTTGAAAAATAACTTCTTTATGCTGACCCAGAAAACAGAAACTAAGATGCCTGTGTAAACTGAACCATCACATATCATCCATATTAAGTCCCACTAATTTGAATGGATCTTACTCCTAATTAAATATACAAAACATAGAACTTGCCCATCTTTCAGTGGCCAAGCATTATCGATCAAACCAAGACACATTTTGGTTGTATAGATGCCAGCTTTCCATCTGCAGGAAACCTTGCAAGTAAGAAAATATTTAATGAAGGAGATCTGTGGAATTTCAGTCATGTTAAACTAACTTGGACTGTATAGTTCAGAAATTGTTACTCGCATAAAAGAGCTCCATGAAACACTTTAAAGCTATATGTGTGATGATTACTTATTTACTGGTTAGATTTATATTTAATCTTTCTTTCTGGAACTCAAGGAGGCATACAGAGCAATTTCTTTTTCTGTTTTTCCTCTCACAACAATCTTGTGAGGTAGATTGGTTTGAGAATGGCCCAAAATCACCAACTGAGCTTCCATGGCTGAGGGTAAGATAAAATCTGCATCTCCCTGTTCCTAGATCAATATCTTAATCATCACATCAAGCTGACTCTCAGCTGTATTATTCTAAAATAATTCAAATCATACTGTGGACAGATAAAGCTTGATACTGTTTTTAAGTTCCATTTTTGTGTACTTTCAAAAGCTTCATACAAAGTAGACATTTTTCCAAAAAGAACATTATTCAGGTCTAGATAGAAGTGCCAGGGGTTGAATCTGGGAATATTTTTCTGAAAAAAATATGTTATACAGCAGTTGCAGTTTTCAAACTACAGTCTACTTTTATATTCTGTAATTATAAGATACAGGTTCAAGGAATTCAAAATGGGGTGTTCTGACTTTTCCAGAAGTATTTTGACCCTCTTGTTTCAAACTCAAAACACTTCCTGAATGGTCAAATCAGCACTAGGATATTTCCAGTAAGATCATGAGAGCTATTTTCAGCTGAAAACTAAGCTTTGTGCTCATATCAGGCTTCCTAGATCAAAATTTTTCAAATTTAAAATATTCTACAGATTAATACAAAGAATCACCTTTCAAAATATTAATCCTTGTACATTTTGCACTACAAACCTCCCAAGGAAGCATACAACCTAACTTCAGAATTTATAAAGGTCTACTTTATTAAAAATAACACTCTGAAATAAAGGCCTATCCATAATTAAATATATTGTTTTAAATGAAGAAATCTAGTTAACAGCTCACAATCAAAACTTAAACAGGATTTATAATTTTTTTATTTTGCAGCCACATCCTATGCATAGTAATTTTAAATCAAATTCAGTCAGTGAGGTTTATTTATTTATTTATACCACGCCTTTATTGTTTTTTTAAAAAAATAACTCAAGGTAGCAAACATACCTAATACTTATTCTCAAATACTGTATAGGATTGCAATGTGCTTAATACTGAATATAAATCCATTCATATTTAAGTAAATATAGTTTTAGTTAAAATATAGTTGTTAAAGACTAGTTATTTGCTAACAATACGTATATACTGGAAATTAATATGAAACTATAGAATTTAATGCTTAACTGAATAGTTATTAGCATTACTTTAATATTCATAAGTTATATTAAATGTTAACTATGCAGTTAATGAAAATAATTCCATGTATGTGAATTTATGTAACCTATTTGAACACAATTAGAACTTGTCAGAGTATTACCTAAAGTTGCTCTTATGCTGAGACTTTTATACATTCTTCAAGAAAAATTGAATGATCACAAACAAGGTTGTTTTTTTAAAAAATGATATCCCAGAACTTTTACCTAAAAGGGTACAACTTAAATTACTGTATTCAAACTATAGTGTTACACTTTTTTTCATAGAGCAAGTTGCTTGTTACTACATTCTAAGAGCTGAACATAAAATTTTCTTCAAAACTAAAGCTCAACATTTTTAAAATATGTATGCCCAACTGAACTCCAAGTAAGCTTTTTCACCAAGCATCTGACTTGTTCAAAAATATTTGTCTATATTGACAATTAAGTTAGGAAAGACACTTTTATCAATGAATACATGTTATCAGGGAGCATTGCTCTAGGAAGAATTGAGGGTTTTTTAAAAAAATTCAAATGATAAGCAAGGGAGCAACATATATGAAGCTGCAAGTTACTTGGTTAGATTCCCTAACCAAGGCCTACTGAGATATATGGGCCATCTGTGCACATATCACAGTTCAAATATACCTTGCAGGTATAACAATATAATCAACAATACAATATTCTCTTACTTTAACAAAACCATTAAAAATATCCCAGCAACTTCACAACAGAACCAACCAAACCATAGGAGCAAGATTTGGAATTGGAGTTTTCTACTTCTCCAACTTCAAATTAAGTCCAAACTTTGCAATGGAATCAATTTAATATAAAACACAAATATATTCCTTCAAATTAATAAGATTTATATATACACATAAGTAGACCCTAGGATTGAGGTAGGATTCTTAACCCCTGTATAGGTAGCAGTTCCTTTAGATAAGCATCTTTGAGTTTTAACTACTCAAATTAAACTAATGAATCCTTAGTAGAACACTAATGTACATAATATTGAGAATAAATTCTGCATTAAGTCCTTAGACATTGATACATTAATTCACAAAATAAACAATAATAAATAGATGTAATGTTATTTTGCTTATACGTAACCATAAAAAGGGCCTGGGTTTCAGAAGTGTCATAACTTAATAAATGCAACTGTGGAAGAAAGAGGTTCAAGAATTAATGTACTCTGATATTGTTGCAAAATACATTTCAAAATATTTCAATACCGCTTCAAAGCAAAATTATCCAAGTAACAGATTTAATCCATTTGCTATTACATAGCCTGAATCCAACTTCTCAAGACCACCAACAGTAAATGCTCATAAATCTTTCTACAAAAAACGGTGGAATAGCTGTCGGAAGGACTTTTCTATCTCCCTGCATCCAAACATCACCCACAAAGCAAAAAAAAAAAAAAAAAAAAAGCTACCAATCTATGGCAGTTTGGGTTTCATTGGAAGCCATAAATATGCAAGGGCAAAAAAACAAAACAAGAAAAAAACCAGTCATGAAAGGCTTCACTGCACACAACTAGGAGCAATAATAATAATAATAATAATGAACACACACCTATCTACCTCCTATATTAATTCAAATGAAACAACTGCCCCCTCCAAACACCTTTCAATCTGTGCTTGCTAAAAATAAAACAGAAATCAAGGGATTACTTTTTTTTTTCTCCCAGCAACACACGAACCTCTTGCTCCCTGTGCTCAAAAGTAGAAACAGAAAAGAAAACGAGAGAAGGAAGGAAGGAGGGAGGGATAGATAGAGAGAATATCAAGAAAACAAACACCCTCCCACTATCCAGATCGCTTCGCCTCGGGAGTGAAATTGTGGGGTCGGAGAAGGCACAAGCTTGCCTTACCTCCCTTTTGCATATAGAGAGACCAGCTTACCTTGGCTGCACCCCACTTTTATTTCCTTTCCTGGAGCAGTGGAGAAAGAGACACACACACAAAGGGTAATAAAGGGGGAGGAGGGGAGAGCAGGGGGATCGAGGGGGGGAGAGAGCTGGTGAATTGGTGGCTGCTGCTCCTCTGTCTGTGTGTGTGTTGTGTGTGTGTGTGTGTGTGTGTGTTGAGGTGTCTTCAGCCAGGGCCAAACAGCAGCAGCAGCAGCAACAGTAGTAAAGGAGACGGAGCTGTGTTGCTAAGAGGCTTTTAGGTCTCTTTTCTCCTCTCGTCTGACGGCCAAAGCGGGGGAAGAAACTCTCCCTTCTCACTAGGGTCTCTCTGGGATCCTCTAGCTAGGCTGGGGGTGGGGGAGAAACTCAAATCTTCTCGGAGCTAAGCTCCCCCCCCCGCAAACCAATTCAAGGTGGAATTAGTGCTCTGTCCCTTTAACAATATAAATAAAAGGTCCCCCCAGTCTCCCCCTTCCCTCTCTTCTTCATCATCAGCTGCTGCTGCTGCTGAGGCTCTGGCTCTCTCTGGCTGGGAGAAAGATGGGAGGCTGTCAGTGCGCATGCGCCCCGTGGGAGCTCGCTTGGGTTAAAGGAGGGGGAGGGAAAAGTTTCCTCCCACAAGGCCCCGCGCCTTAAAAAGCGAACCCGGAAAAAGATTCCGCAAAGATGGAAGAAAGGGGGGGGGCGGAAGTGGTGGGAGGGGAAAAAAAATCGGCGCGTCGAGCGGAAGTGGGGGTGGGGGGGGAGTGTGCGGAGGCGAGAAGGAAGAGAGCCTTGAAAAGGCCCGCGACGGACAGACAGGCAGGCTTGTTATGCAGTCAGGTTGTAGAATGGCCGTGACGCGCGTGCGCACTCGCGGGAGAGTTCGCACGGGAAGCGCGTGCGTGGTGTTTGCTGGGAGGTTTGAAGCGGTTTCGCTGAGGTAAAGGCTCGCGCCGGGGAGAGTTTCTGCGGTTGGGCCCAAAAGAGGGGGAAACTCGGGTGAGGGGGTGGGGAGCTGAGTAGAGAAGGGCCCGGTGAGTCTGGAATCCCGCGTCGCCTGGTCCTCGTTTTATGAACGGGATTTTTGAGAATGGCAAAGTTGGGCTCGCGGTTCCAAGGCAGCTCAAGGAGGCTTTTGAGGCGCCTGAGGGAAACGAGCAGACCGGTTTTTTCCCCTCCTTGGGGTTACTTCTGAGGAAACGGCGCTGCAAATTGAATCCGAAGAGTCGCTTCCTCAGGCTAGGATCATCCTGAATGTAGGTTTTCAAAAAAAGGCCCAGATTGAGATGATTGGAGACCTCACGTCCTGAGGGAGAAAGATGGCAGGTTATTTTTCGAGATCCGCCGAAGGCGATTTGCTCTCGTTTCCTGCTCCTGAGGTTTTAATCTCCCTCTCGTAGACCTTTTGATAAGCGACTGACTTGATGCTGCTCCCTCTTAGATAGTTTCAGGTGGAAGGAACTGGACGATTTTAGGATGCGAACCGATTTCACTGACTTGGGATGGCTTATATTCACCAGGCTGTAGCTGGGCTGGCCGTTTATTGAACTCTTCAAAACGCTAACTCAGCCATCGGGTCCCTGCTGTTATTTTTAACATAAAAATAGATACAGGTTGTGACTGTGCTGTGGGAGGTGAAAAAGTCATCTTCAGTGAAATGGGTGGCTAGATAAATGTGTTTAATAAATAGTTGATAAATAGTTAACTATTTAATAAATATGTTTAATAAATAGTTAACTATTAAACAAATTTATTGAGCCGCCCATTTCATTGAAAATTACTCTTTGGATCACTTGTAGTGTCAGCAGTTCCCCAATCCTATTTTTGTATCATACCAGGGGAGCATATTCATATATCAAATTGTGAAATGAAACTTACATACCTCCACAATTCTAGTGTAGGTTTTTTTTTAAATGCCTTTTGTTCACAAAGCTTATGGGGAAAAATGAAGCAGAAATGTTTCCTAAAAATGTAAACTCTAAAAGGTTATTTCTTTCATACTATTTCACTGATTGTTAAATTTATTGAGCAGACTATAGTTAACTCAAAGAGGTATCTGGAAGTTTCTTTTCACAATTTGATATGTGAATATGCTCCCTTTATATGATACAAAAATAGGATTTGGGAATTGCTGATACTAGTGATCCAAAGTTCTGTCTATGTTACATTTGAAAATGAACTCTATACTGCAAGTCTCGGACACCGAGTATTTTTAGCAGGTCTGTAAAGATAATGCAACCATGGTAGTAAAAAATTGTACAGATATTATGAATTGTTAGTATGGAATAAAGACTTCCATAATAGTAATGAAAAACATTGCTGTTAAGAATTGTGGGTACTTAAGCATTTTCTAGTAGTTACATGCATCTGACAGTAAACATCAAGATGCTCAGGCACCTCTGAGTAGCCTTTTATTTATCCTGTGGTTAATTGTCATGTCACCTACCACCAAGATTCAGATGTTAGCTTTCCATTGTACCTTGAAGACCTGATTTGGCCTTCAGGCACTGAGTATGCTAGTTGAGTCCAATATGTGAGGTTGGTTAGTCCCCCAACCCAGCTTTTTTTGGTGGCTTTATCATACTGTATTTTCTACATGTGTGTTTTTTTCAGGATTTCCCCCCCTTACAGCTATTTAAGTCATTGTTTTGACTTTTATGTTACAGGTAATCCTTGACATGACCACATTGTAAAAAGTGACTTATGACGGTCCTTTCATTTTCAACCATTATGGTGTCTCTGAGTCATGTGATTGCACATTGGGCACTTAGCAACAGCATGTGTTTGTGATGGTTGCAATGTCCTGGGATCACATGATCCTTATTTGCAACCTTCCCAGTTGGCTCCCGATATGCAGAATCAATGGGGGAAGTTGCATTCACTTAACTAGTGTGTGGTTTCCTTAATAACTGTGACAAACATTGTAAAATAGGTATTATCACATGGTGACACATCTCATAGCTTAGTGACACGTTCTGGTCCAATTGTAGTCGGGTCCTTACTGCTCTCTGAGCTTGGTTATTTTCTTGCATACATTTCATTATTCAAATGAGGTAACATCAAAAGTGCTAGTCAATTGTAGTCATAAGTCAAGGACTACCTGTGTTTTGTTTTCACACTTTTATCTATTGTTCACCTCCCAGAGTCACTCTGTTGTACAGCTTACAGAGGGCATTCATATATATAACAGCCAAGGACCTCACCTCACAGCCTTCAAGATTAGATTATGAAATTCATTTATACAGAATACAGTAGGTTAAAAAAAAGATATATATTAGAAATATACATGTACTTGAATAATTCCATTAGGCAAATATGTATAGAATTGTAGTTGTCTTATGATGACATGCTTTTTGTCATATTTTTGTTAATGCATTTTTGTGTTCTTTTTTCTTTTTGACTATCATTATCATTTTTATGTCTTGCTCTCTTTTTTTGTTACTAAACACCAAAAAATAAGCCTTCAGGATTGGGTTTTCAAAAGGCATGTGATTTTAGAAATAACAAGTCAGTTTTTGAAGAGAAATCAGGTTATTGAAGGGAGATTTGGATCTGAACATTTTTTACAACTGAATTTTTAAACTGAATAATGTGTAAATTTGTGTAATGACTCACAATTTCTGTTTGTCTCTGTCTAAATGGCATTGCATGTGACTAACAGTATAGTTTTGTAAATTTTATAAATATTTTTGCTATTCTAGGTTAAACAAATAGGGAATAATTATTACTTTAAACATGAAATTAAATTCCGTAATATATTTTATCCTTTTAGAATGTGAACTAAAATGAGCAAACGGAAGTTGAAGGAAGATAGCTTTACAAATGGGGAATGCATTTCAAAGGTTAGTAATATTCTTACTAACAATTGTAACATTCTTACAATTTCATATTTAAATACAAGGGAAAATACAGCTCAATGATTTGTCCTAATAGACAAGTAACTTGTATAAAAGGGATTTCCCTAGCAAAGGGGACATTTTGCATGAGGGTTTTTGTTAGGAATATGAAGCTGTGTGCAATAGAGGTCTTCTTCCCATGCCTGGATATTAGATTTGAAGTCAAGAAAACATTCATAAATTAAACCCAAATAAGGTGGAGTTGGTACCTGTTAGTTCCAGTGGTGTAGCTCAAAGTTGACCATGATTGGGGGTCCTTTGTGATTCATGACTACTGTAAAGTCAAAGGGTAATGATAATCAGAGTCTTGTGCCCAGCTCTGATTGATAAGCCATTTGCAACCCAACCTGCTAGAGTGTTTTGTCCCCTCTGGGTTATTGTAAGTAACATTGCTGTACAATGAGTCTGCTTTGAAGATCACTTGGAAATTGCACTTAATCCAGAATGAGCAGCCTACATGTTAGACACTTAATACTCCCATCAAATTACATTAATTCTCTGTGCTTTACACTGGCTGCCAATAATTTTCTAGATGCAATTGAAAATGGTAATTTTTTCCTGCTATGCCTTTTCATTAGTTAGTTGCAAAACAACCTCCTTCAATTGTTTTGACATATCAAAAACCTCTCACCTGGGAGAAACTTCATTGGATCCAGCAATCCATGTGAGGGAGCTTGAGGCATGGAGATGCTTGTCATGACTGCATTCGCTTAAGGTTTATAATCCTTTGGCTCATCCTTTTGGAACAGCTGAGAAAAAAAATAGCTCTTTTGTCCAAATTTTAACAATTTACAGTTAAGAAAGCCTCGTTAAAGTCAGCAGAAGACAGATCTAATGTCTTCTAATGAGCTGAGATGCTTTTCTATGGTAACCCTGGCCCTATGGAATATTTTGGGCCTGGGTTTAATGAATTCTTTAATGTTTAATGTCCATTTACTGTTTGGAGCATTCTGTCGGATATGGAGTTTTTTCCTGGTTTAGATTTTGTGTTAGGTTCTGTCATACAGTTGGTTAATTACATAATTAATAGATGTCATTTTCACAAATACATCACCCAAATCTCAGGTCTTTCTAACTCTAAGAGCCTCCTGTTTCTCAGGAACACCTACTCTCTCATCTAAATCAGGGCTGTCAAATTTGCGGCCCATGGGCCAGATGCGTCATGCGTGGGCCATGCCCTTGCCTGGTTTAGCGAAGAGGAAAAAAGATACATCACATGATGACCCCGTGGCGACGTGAGCTTGACACCCCTGATTTAAATCAAACAGCAAGCTATAAAATAAAATCTTAAATCAGGTAGACCTAATCCTCCTCTTTCCTTTGCATCTTGTAACCACTTCATTTAACTCATTTTTTTCCCCTGCTACATAAGTTTAGATATATCCTGTTTAAATAGTGCACCAGTTATCATCAAAACAAGTATTGTCTGAAAGAAAAACATTCTTGGAAAGTCATTCATCTTAATCACAAACTTTTTCCCCAAAAATGTAGTTTCTCACATTTTAACATTTCTTTTTTAACTTCATTCCATGTCTTAACATAATTATTTTGAAATAACATATAATTCATATTTGCCAGAGTGACAATATTTTTCCTCAATTTTAAAGCCCATTTTATTCATCAGTTCTGTTTGATCTTCTGTTTTCATGTCTTTGTTAACATTTTTATCTTCTCTTTGTTGTTAAAAACTTGCTAATGCACCAAATTATTTTAGTATTCATATTAATGTTTCAATTCACTTTAAAGGATCTTACAAAATCAACACCAAACCATCTACAAAGGCCTTAATTTAGAAGTCTTTTTTCTTAATCTTTACTCCACAGTCCTCTCATCTTGTCTTATATCTTTATTCACTATTTCAAGAACCCAAATAAATAAGAGAGGAGATGGTGAGCATCCCTCTTGTTCTTTTTTGTATTTTACAAAGCTTTGTTAAATCTCTATTAACAATTATTTGAGCTTTTTGTAAAATGTAAATCAATGTTACCCATTTTATAATTTTTTCCGAAGTTCATATTTTCTGAAACATTAAACAAAAAAACCCATAATCCTACCCCTCTGAGAATGCATCTACGAAAATCAATGTGGCTTGTTTTTTTATGTAGCGCCAAATATTCTAAAATGTTGAACATATTTCTAAGATTATCCTTTAATACTCTTTAGGTAAAAAACCTGCATTAATCCTCATAAATAAATTTTTGCAAAATTATATTTAGCTTTTTAATGAAAGTGCTATAAAGCTTTAGAAAATAATGGCAAGGCCAATTATATTTCCACTTTTCTCAAATTCTAATACTCAGAATGATCAGTAGTTTTTTAATCTTATATAGACCTGGAGATGTATAAATATCTTTCTTTACAAATATTACTTTATAGGTACTAATAAATTATATTATTTTCTAAACATGCTTTTTAATAAGATCTAAACATCTTTGCAAGCCTCAGAAAGGAGAAAATTTGTATGTTTTAATAACATGTCTAAATATTTATAGGTACAAAAAATATTACGCGAAAGATTCTGTCACCTGAATACAAATGGAAAATTATTTGGACTTGAGCATCAATATAAGTAAGCAAAAATATTTTTTCCTTTGTTTTTGAGAGTTTCATAATGAATCTCCTGAGATTTGAACCTCGTAACCTTTAGAGATCTGTCCTTCCCCAAATTAGGTTGGATTTAGAGTTTCACAGAACAGAGTGCTGCAAATGTAGTACCACTACATTTGAGGGAAGAGGGATGTGATTTTCCTATTTTCTCTCTTCCTATAACTCTATGGCTGTTTACAAAAGAGGCTATGCTGCTGGGGATGAAGGAAAATAAAATAAGCAAAAATGTTCTTCTGCTCACTGAAATATCAGTTACTAGAATGGAAAGACTTGTATATTTAATTCGTTTTTGCAACCAGAAGGATCTCCCCCCATTTCTGATAAGGTGTTCTGAATCTAATTATATTGCCTTGTACAATCTCATAGACTTACTAAAAAGATAAAAACATAAAAAAGAGCATTCCTGGTGGCACATATTCAAGACATCAGATGAATATGTTGCTTTTCTTGAATTATCACAACAGTTATCATTGTGCTGTCTGGTTCTAATAGAACACTTCACTTGTTAGAATGGGAAGGAACACATTCCTGGAGGTTCAGGATCTAAATCTGAACCATCAATCAAATTAAATCTGTCAATCTAGGTAAGAGATAGTCAAAATCTGGGAAAATCAAAACATTCAGCAACCAATGAGGAACAAGAAGATTTCTCTCCCAGGTGGAATTTTTATAAAAGGTGAGGGCCAGCTCCATTTTCCTTTGCCTTCTTGTATTTTGGTGGTGTTGATGGATGCAATATGGTTGGGGTGGAGTGTTTGAAGACGCCATATGGAAAACAGGATCCCACTTTATTAGATCCTATCCCAAGTGCTCTGATTACATCTTATAAATTAATACCCAGTTTGTTTTATTAGTATTCAGCCTTTCTATTAGAGAAATATTTAAGAACTTGGTTTGCTGGCTTGAGTATTAGGAGTAATAAGATGAAATGAAATCAAGGGGTCTCTAAAGATGAGTTCTCAAAATGATTTGATGTTCCTGATCTAGAAGATCAGCATGTCTGACCCCTGGTCTCCCAATCACCCACTGATTCCTAAAAAACCTAGTGGCAGTGTTAGGTCATTTACAACCTGATCAAGCCCACAGCATTCATGACCAACATGACTCTAGACTTACTGTCAGCACAGTTGTACCTGCAAATGTTGCCATATATGGACATCTGTTGCTTAATAGCTGGAACCTAGTTGCTACATCCATTACTGTTAGCCAAGTAGTTGTCCTGTCTTGGAGGACAGCTCCTTGATGTTTTTTTTCTCTGAATGCTGCACTGAGTGACACATGCCCAGGAGCAACATGATCCTTAGTCTTTTATGTGATGCTAGCTTGGTTATAGATGAAGCTTTCTTTAGCAGACCTGGAACAAGTATTGCATTATTTATAAGCTTATTCAGTGAATAGCTACCACTTTGTTATGAACCCTTTGTCAGATGCAGCTAAAGATATTCTCTTATCTACAGTTCAAAAAAAAGCTCCATTTTCTACTCTGGATAAATGGTATATAGACATTCTCCTTCCCATTAAAGAGGAGGGTTTTTTCCCCCCCATTCCTTTCATTATTCGTACTCTTATCAATCATATAGTGAATATGAGTTATAAACTTGCCATATGATTGGAAGACATGTTGATGGATTTAGTAATTTTGTTGGGAATTTTCAGGTATTTGCTGAAATTTGGTTCTTTGGGTATTTGTATGTTTTAAAATTGTTGAATGATAATTAATTTTCCCTTGAGATGAAATTGGTATCTGAAAAGTTCCCTAGATATGTCCTTGTCTGAAGCTGAAATGTGTGTCTTTTCCCATAGACAGTTACTTGAGCTGATAAAACATACTGCCATTAATGGTGAAAGCAATTCTGTACTTATTATTGGACCACGAGGGTCAGGAAAGACTCTGGTAATACTTTTAAATGTGCTTATATTTTGTATATTAGATAATTGTCATTCAGAGCATTTATATCTATTAAGCCTTAGCTTTCCCCTTTTAATTACAAATTTAGTGAAGTAACCACTGATGGAATACAGGTAATCCTTAACTTATGACCACAATTGAGCCCAGAATTTCTGTTGCTAAGTGAAACAGTTGTTAAGTGAGTTTTGCCCATTTTATGAACTTTCTTGACACCATTCTTAAGTAATTCACTGCAGTTAAGTTAGTAACACAGTTGTTAAGGGAAACTGACTTCCCCATTGACTGCTTGTCAAGGTTGCAAAAGGTGATCAAATGATCCTGGGACACTGCATCTATCATAAATACATGCCAGTTGCCAAGCGTCTGAATTTTGATCACGTGACTATGTGGATGCAGCAACTGTCATGTGAAAAATGGTCAAAAGTCACTTTGTTTAGTGTCGTAACTTTGAACAGCCACTAAATAAAGGTTATAAGTTGAGGACTACCTGCAGTGTTTATTTGCAGAATTGATTGTTTCTTTAGATTTTACCTCCCCGCTTTTGCCCCAAGACTCCTCCAAACTTATTACAATAACTCTCAGAGATTTGTGAGGCAAATGAGGTGAAGAAGAGTCTGAGCAGAAGGCAGTTTGTGAAATATTCAATAAAATTCTTTAAAACTGATATCAATTGTTTTAGTTTATTGTTACATGTTCACATTTCACTTTTAAGTATATATGCAATTTTATGCAAGATAGCTTACAAAACTTTTAAAGTAGGATTATAACAGATATGATCAAAACTTTTTTTCCTCATGGAGCAGATGAGTGGTGGTGAAATAACCCTATAGAATTATCCATAATCCTGTAGTGTAACCTATAATACAACTAGAGTTTCTAACTCCTGTAATAGATAAAGAAATAGCAGACAAAACAGTGTGTTGTATCATGTCCTTTTAAACAGTGCTTTTTCACTATCACAAAATGGCTCTCAAACTGTCATCAGTGTACATAAATTGATATGAGTATGACATCCTCTCTTCCAGTGGGTATTACTATAACAAGTATTGTGATTTCTTTTGATTTCTTCATGTGTTCATTTTCTATTGAACAATCAATATTTCAGGTGCTACATGGTAGATATACTTTTAAAATATGCTTTTATTGAGAATCCGAAGTATGTTTCATTCCATATATGTAGAGCTATCAAAAAAGGTACCGTATTTGGATTCCATGCAAGTTTCTTCAAAGGGAAGGAAAGAGGATATTTTTCCAGGTTCCCCTCAGATACCTCTATCCAGCTTTCTGATTCTGTTTTCCAATCATCTGACGCAGATTTCAAGTTGCTGAGCTTCACTGGGAAGGGAATAAAAGAAAATATCCTATTTACAGCCCCCAAATTTCTGTTTTCCAGAGCAATGTGTGTAATGATTGCATCCCCTTTTCTTGCAGTAGGCACCTATGATAAATTTCAGACTTTCATGAAACTAAGGGAGCCTCCCATTCATAAAAGAATCAGGGATCCAACCAAAGAGCAATAATTATTTCTGAATACTGACAATGTAAAGTATAAGTATATATATATATATACAATTCTGTTTTACTATAAATGATTATTCTTTTTTCTAGTTAGTTTGTCATGTCTTAAAAAAACTTTTGGAAATGAAGGAGGTAAAAGAGAACGTCTTGCAGGTACATTTAAATGGTAAGTAATATTTCTGATTATCATACTTGATTTTCTTGAAAGATTGACTAAATTTAGATAATGTATTAAGTAATAGGAAACAAGAACTGTTACTGCCATCTATGGTAGCAGGGATAGAATAATACATAATGCTTTCTAACTGCCATTTCAGTGTAGGATAGCTTTTTGAAAATTATGATTAGTTCACTGAACAAGTTGTTTTAGAGGCAACAATGTCTAAATCAAGACATGGCAGCATTCTAATTGTTGCTGAAATATTCCCAGTAGCTCTAACATATGGTCAGTAATGAGAGATGCAAGAACTGATATTAGGGAATTGCTTTGTGCTCAAGTGGAATTATTTCATGTGGTACTTTCCTTTAAGATGGACCTAAACACATCAAAGAAACACACAAACCCAATTTATGTCAGTGCAGTTCTGAACTTTACTTTCCCTGTTGCATAAACCTTGGTTTTTTTTTCTCTGTTTGAAGATAATGTGTATCAGCTAATAAGTGAAATCAAGAGAAAATAATATATTTCCTTTTATCTTGTAGGGTTATTACAGACCAATGGTAGAATTGCTTTAAAGGAGATTACAAGACAGCTAAATTTGGAGAATGTGGTTGGAGATAAAGTTTTTGTAAGAAAAATAAGTTACATTTAGAACTGCATATATTTTTTTTATTTATTTTAATTTGATTTATATGCCGCCCTTCTCTGGAGACTCAGGGCGGCTTACAATGCGTTAAGCAATATAGCTTAATATGGTAGTATGAATACTAGAATATAGCTTAATATGGTAGTATGAATACTAGAATAATGTACTAGGTTAGTATTAGAATAATTATCATTTTGAGATTGCTTGTGTAATAAGCTAGCTATTGGTTCTCCTTTTGGGTAAGGGGACAAAATAAATAGAAATAAAAGTCTTTCTTACCTAAAACAACATGGAATTAAATAATGACTATTGAGATAAAAATGTGTATTAAACAATACTTGTAGGAGATGAAGGATAAATTTTTCTAGTTGTTCTAAATAAGTTTGTTTTTGCCTACTGAAAAAAACTAACATTTAATATCATATGACAAACATCAAAAAGTGAAAATATTGAGAACTGAAAAAAATAAGATTGTCAGGAATTCAGAAAATGTAATGGATTGTATATGTTAAAGGAAAAGGTAGAAACCTGGGTACAAACCAAATCCCCACCAATGCTAGCAGGGCAGGCTACTATAAATAAACAGGGAGCAAACCCCACACTCACTAGCATTAGTGATGTTACCTAGTCGGGTAATGCCCAACTAGGTAACATCTTCAGTGCTAAAAGGCACTGGGGTTTCTACTATTGATGATGTTTACCTAGTTGTATAATGAAACATCTGCAAGCAAACAACCAAGCTCAGAGACCACCAAGAATTTCACAATTCAACCCTAAAATTCTAATGATTGATTTTTTTTCCCCATTAGACTAAACAACACAATTTATTGAGGGAGGGGCTAAATTGAACTTTTATTAAATTGTATTATTTAGAGCAAATTCCTGAATTTGTGATAATAAAATAATGAGAAAGGTCAGTTCTAGCTGAATTTTTTGTAATTCATTGCACCACAAAATTTGAGAATCTCAGTTTTATTGAAATAATGCAACTTTTTAAAAGAGGTGTCAAATTCTGATTCTGTACAAATTTGATATTTTTCATTTTTAAAGTGCTAAAATTATGAATTATTGTCAGAAATAGTTTGTTGTTGCCATCATTATTATTTAAATTTATATGCCACTCAACTCTGTGATTTAGATATTTAGATAACAGTCTATTTCAGCTATTAAAGTCCTTGGCTTTTTCCCTGCTCTCTTCCTGTGCCACTCCTGCTCAGAACGAAATATTCAAAAGCTGTGTCTGAATAGAATGATTGGTGTGCAAAACAGTTGGCACATCCCTAATGTGTCTCATATCTAAAAAAGAATTTCAGATGTTCTTGAAACAGAAATGAGGGAAAGTCTTTCTTTTTATAGCAAAACAAAATTAAATGATGCATGAGTCAATAGTGCATTCTTTGCTTCAGGATGATGATTGAAATATAAGAGAGTTTTAAGGATTCCAAAGAACATTAGTCTTAATAGTTTAGCTATTTTGTAGCACGAACTGCAGCTACTGTAATTCTATACATTTCCAAAAAATGTAATTATTTGTTCAAAGTTTTAAGTGAAGCAGATTTCTAGATAGCAGATACAATATTGCAAGTTTCCATTTTTCAGATTTTAATATACAAATCAATCTTTATAACTTACTTGTCTTTTAGGGTAGTTTTGCAGAAAATCTTGCATTTCTTCTGGAAGCATTAAAGAGAGGTAAGCATATTCCTTTGATAGTTAATAGCATAGAATGTATGGTTTACTTTGTCACTAAAAGGTAGAAAATTAAAAGGTGAGCAGAAATTAGATTGTACCAACAAATAATACAGTTTGTCAATCTCACCAAGAAACACAGACAAATATGTAAGAAGCAAAATAGAATGAGGATGTAGATAAAAACTTAGAAGGATTTCTAGAAAGTTATAAGATGTAGTTAATATTTTTATAAAAAAGGAAACCTTGGATATGTATGAATGTCTAAATGAGTAAACATTTGAAATAGATATGTACAGAAAAGAATAGACAAAATAGAAAATAACCACCGATGCAACAGCTTTTAGAAGTCAGTCAGTGGACTGAGTTAGTGTTGGTCTGTTTTTTCTTTCGTATTGTTTTAATGTATCTATGTTTGTATGTATTTTTTGTTTTGTGTTTACCTTAATAAAAAATAATATAAAAAAAATTAGATTGCACCTGAAAAACCTAGAAAACTATATAAATTTTTAACATTGTCTGTGGGCTAGAAACTGAAGACCACCTGAGTCCTCAAATAAGTAAAATGTACATCTTAAAAGTATAAACGTGCTCTTTGGCTTACTGAGAGGTAAAGTTTTGCACAACATTTTGCCAACAATGTTCCTGACATTCATGGAAATCTTGACTTTTTATTTGGTGACCAGGTTTACATCTTGTCATATTGTCTGGGATTCCTAGACAATCTGTAGACTTCAATAAAATGGTTAGTGTTTGGTAATATGTCTTCTGCCACTTATGTGCTGCATCTGTGTCCTTCTGTACTCTTAAGGAGAGCTGGGAGAGTGTGATCAACTGGATCTGAGAGGTAGTCTATACTCCTTTATGGAAGGGGTGTTTCCTGCTGTCTTGAATGAAGAAATGCAGTCCTTGTTTAGTGACCCTAGTTGAGGCCAGCAACCCAGTCATTATGCAAAGTGGTCACTAAGTGGAACTGTGGCTTTGCTTGTGATTGTTAGCTTTCTCTTGCTTTACAGAGCTACAAAAGTCATAAAGGCGAGGATTGGTTGTAAAATTACTTTTTCATCACCATTGCAATTGTGGGTGGTCACTAAATGAGAGTCACTAAAGAAGGACTATCTGCCGTGTATTCCTTCCCTGGATCCTATACTAGAAAATATACTAGAAAATTTATAAGTAATAAAGTCAAGATAAAAATGTAATAAATATGCCTTGGTTTGAAAATTATTTCAACAATAGTTATATTTATTGTCATATTAATGTATGATGATTTTTTTTCTTGTAAGTGCTCAGAATTGCATGATTATGGTGGTCTTAAAAGTCCAGTAAAACAGAAAATAAATAAATATGTACTTATTTGCCACCTTTTAAATAGAAACAAAAGCAGCATGATCTGCCCTATTGCATATACAGTAAAATGGAACTTTACACTGGCTCAACAATATTTCATGAATTTTATAATTTTAGATCAGTGATGAATTTATGAAACTATTGTTCACTTTAATTTTTTTGTCAAAACTATTTAGAAAAAAATAACAAATAATCTTGCCGAAATACAATAGTGGTCATTATGTTGAAAAGTGGAAACTATTTGGCTGATTAGTTGTTTAGTCATATCTACCCCTTGAATTGTATGAGCAAACTTGATTAGTTCTTATTTTTTTTCTCAGTGCTTGTTCTGCGTGGTTGCAGGGTGCCTTGTTTTTTGCATTGCACTTGCCTCACGCTTACAGTGGAGTTATCAGTGCATGATGCCACAAAAGGTTTTGTTTATCAACCAGCTTGTCACAGAGCCCAGTGCTTTATTCAACAATAAAGGAAGAAAATGTTGATTAATTATATAGCGAGTGCAAGTACTACTTAAAGTTATTTATATAGTAAGTAATCGACATCTCAGTCACTTATAAAGAGGTTTTCTTAACATCCAGATTGTAAAGTAAGCTAAAATGCAGATGTATGTAATAACCTTAAGGTTTCTTGAAAGTTCTAATATGTACTAATTTGATTTTATGTTTTAGGAGATCGTGACCACAGTTGCCCTGTTTTGTTCATTCTAGATGAGTTTGATTTGTTTGTCCATCATAAGAACCAAACATTACTATATAATCTTTTTGATATATCACAATCTGCACAGACGCCTATAGCTGTTATTGGTCTGACTTGTAGGCTGGTAAGACGATATAGTTTTTTCCCCCTGTAAGTCGTTGGGAGTCTGCAAATTCAAATACTAACTACTGAAACACTTTCTGGTTTTGATTACAGGTAGTTTTTGACTTATGACTGGCCACTTAGCAACTATTCAAAGTTATGTTGGACTCTCCGCCCCCCCTCCCCCCCAGCCCCCTCTCCCTAATTTTGAGTTATGTGACTGATTTAGAGTGCTCAGTACCGGCCCGCATTTATAGCTATTTACAGGGCCCTCATGATCACATGACTGCAATTTATGATGGTTTCACTGAAAAACTGGTGTTTACTTCTGGTTTCTGACAAAAAACGGTCCATGGCAGACAACGGGTTGGCTTAACAACTGTAGTGTTTGCTGACTGCCGCAAAAAAAGTTGTAAAATTGGGTTGGCCATATGATGTCCTGCTTTATGACTAACACAACTTAACAGTGGTAATTGCCAGAGCTCAATTGCGGTCATAAGTCAAAGACTACCTGTAAATGCAAGTAAAGATGCTTTCAGGAGTTGTGAATTGGTTTCAGGTATGAAGTGTAGGAAGCTGTTTCACCCATAACAGTGCATGAATAATATAATAGCCAAAAGTACTTCCCTTGCTACTGCCTTAAGGTTTCTTCCTGATGAATTTGGAAAACTGTCTACAAAAGAAAGTTCATACAGATAGTTGTTACATTGCTTTAATTGCTAAACCATGGAGCCCTTAGTGCTTTCTGAGCCTGATTGTTTTCTTGCAGATGTTTCATTGCCCAACTAGGTAACATCTTCAGTGCTGGAAGGTACTAGGTAAACTGATGATGTTTACCTAGTTGTATAATAAAACATCTGCAGAAAAAGAACCAAGCTCAGAGAACACCAAGGATTCCACAGTTCAGCCCTGAGCTACAAGTATCTTCTGTGGCTACTTGCTAATCCACTTAGTGGCTTGGAAGAGTATACACAAAGTAAAACCAATTATCTAAAGCGGAACCATTCAAAATATGGATTGAAAAAACCCATATTATTCTGAGCATGGGACTACATCCCTTCTGTTTTGATGCTTCAAAACATCTGTTTTAACATCTCTGGCATGGAATGCTAGACTAGATGGACAGTTGTGGCTTGATTTAAATAGCTCTAGTTTGCAGTGTATGAGTGTTTAACTTATTTTAAACTTGAGCATTTTAAACTATCATTGCAAGCTCTTAATATTTTACGATATCTAGCTGAATTTATAGATGAACTAGAAGCTTGATGTGTAAACATCTGAGTGTTATTCAGAACTACTCTTGAAATTTATGAGCTCTGCAGAATAATAGCATTAGATATTTATCATTAAATATCCAATATCCTTGGACTAAATGCTAATTGTAAACTCTATTTGTAATCTTTTATTAGGATATTCTAGAACTCATGGAGAAAAGAGTAAAGTCAAGATTTTCCCACCGGCAAATATACTTAATGAATTCCTATGATTTTAAAACATATTTGAATATTTGTAAAGAACAGTTATCCCTTCCTCCAGAATTTCCAGAAAAGTCCTTTATCCAGAAGTGGAATAGACACATACAGGTAATAACAAGCAACTGAATTGCCTGCTGAAGGTTCTCCAGATAAACTCGGGAACAGAAATAACACTGACAGTTTACATTCTTGTTACTGTTTGTGTGTATGTGTGTGTGTGTTAATGAGTACATTGGTTTTATATATGATTGGAAAATTGGCAAGGCAAACCTGGATCCAAGAACAGTTCCCCTGGGAAGCATTTGGGCCATTTTGTCCATTTTTTGGAATCCTGTAGACCAGGGGTCAGCAACCTTAAAAACTCAAAAGAGCCACTTGGACTCGTTTCCCACAGAAAAAAAAAAACACCAGAGCCACAAAACCTGGGTGGGCGTGGCCAACTCGATGTCACTCACTCCCACCCAGTCACATAACCCCCCTAGCCACGCCTACCCAGCCACAAAACCATTCTGTCTCTCTCCCCCCCCCCGTGTCCCCCTCCCTCTGTATCTCTCCCCCTCTCTGTATATGTGTGTTTGTCTCCTCCTTCCCTCTCCTCGTGATGCCCTGGCCGGCCATGGCTGAGCCAGGAGCATGCGCACGCACGGGGAGATCCTCCCTAAGCGAGCTCCAAATCGCAGCAAAGGCGCATGCAGGGTGGGCGGCCGCTCATTTAGGACAGTCTTAACAGGATGTGGCTTCTCTGCTGCACTAATGCTCCGGCCATCGCGTTGCCGTTCATCCCCCACCCCCGGCAGCTCTTCAGCCAAGTGTGGAGGGTGTGAACTCCAGCCCAAAGCGGCAGGAAGCGAAGGCTGCCTTACAGTACGTGCAAATGTGGCATAAAGGCAGGTACAGGGAAGCTTCGCTCCTGCACTCGTCTCCTCCTCCCACTCTTGAGATGCCTTGGCCGGCTGTGGCTGAGCCGGGAGCATGCGCACATGTGGGGAGACCCTCCTTAAACGAGCTGCTGCCCACCCCACGTGCACCTTTCCTGAGCTTCAGTGCTTCCTTGAGGAGGATCTCCCCACGCGTGCGCACGTTCCTGGCTCAGCCACAGCCAGGGCGTCATGAGAGTGGCAGAATGAGATCCGGTGATGGCCGGATCATTTGTGCAGGAGAGAAACAGCGTCCTGCTAAGACCCTCCTAAGCGAGCAGCCGCCCATTCTGCATGCGCCTTTGCTGCACTTCGGCGTTCGCTTGAGGAGGGTCTCCCTGCACATGCGCACGCTCCTGGCTCAGTGGGGGAAGAGAGTGCAGGAGCAAAGCTGCCCTGTACCTGCCTTCGCGCCACATTTGCGCGTAAGGCAGCCTTCGCTTCTTGCCGCTTTGGGCTGGAGTCAAAAAAATAAGAGGGGTGAGGGGCTGGGCCAACCAGTGATGGGACAGGGAGCCGCGGCAGAGGGCCCAAATGCGGCTCCGGAGCTGCGGGTTGCCGACCCCTGCTGTAGACTTCTGAGGACCAAAAGAAAGAACAAGGAAGGAAGGCCTATTTGACCATTATTGCTGTGGCCTGCAAGATCAATCTGTTTGCAGAATTAGTATTAAAGGGAGGAGAATGTGAATGTGCAAATCATATTGTGCTTGACATTTTGTAACCCAAGGTGGCAAACGCGCACAATATTCCCTCCTTCTCTTTTCCCTACAACAGCACCCTGAGAGGTGGGTTGAGCTGAGAGAGACTGACTAGGCCAAAGTCATCCAGATGGCTTTCATGCCTAACCAGGCTATACAGAGGTGCTTTGCATTTCATTTCTTTGTTTTGTGAAGCAGTTATGCATCCACATACAATGTGTAGTCATCAGTAGTATAAAGCAGCCCCTTGAGCCTGGAAAAAGACACAGCTGCTTTATTAATTTCATGGGAAATGTGCACAATCCTGTAAGCTTAACTGTAGCCACCATGAACCATAATCATCTAGAATGTTTCACTACTATCTACTTCTTCAGCTAAAGTTCTGAAAGCTTCTGTGCTATGTGGAGTTGAAGCAATTGAATGAGTCATTGTAAGCTTATTCAGCTCCCTTTCAATCTGGTTCATAACATTCTCTAAACAAGATACATTTTAAGTGAGATGTTTATCTACAGACCCAGATACAGCTTAAAAATTTTGAGTTTTGAAATAGGACACAAAATGCCAAGTCTTAGAATAGTTAGTATATACCCTGAGAGGCAGTTTTTAACAGCTAACAGGATGGATTAAATTCTAAGTAATTTATTTAGCAGTTGTTAAATGGTTAAACAATTTCCTTAAAATTTAATTTAATTTCCCACTAGTAACTCCCTCATGTATTTCTAAAACTGTTAAAACATGATTTATATGATTTCATTCTTACATGCCTTTGTTATACAGTGAAATCTGTTTTGCAGACATTAATACAACAGACTCAGCGTGTTGGGAAGCATATCTTTGTTTTAAATTACCCGTGTTTCCCCGAAAATAAGACCCTGTCTTATATTTTTTTGAACCCTGAAATAAGCGCTTGGCCTTATTGCCATGCGCTCAAAAGCCCGATTGGGCTTATTATCAGGGGATGTCTTATTTTAGGGAAAACGGTATATAAATGATGGCAATCCCATACCTTCATATTGTTCATGAATTTCACTTTTTTTATAAAACTGCCTTTTTTTCCAATACAGAATAGAACCTAATGGCCATTTATTTTGCTTAAATAAGTATGAATTTATAGGAGAATTGAGCAGTGTTGATATCTTTTCTCCTGCTTTGATTAAGCGACACCTTTCCCCAAAAACTGCAACATATTTTATAAGTGAAAATAAGGAGTAATAATGATAACTCTAATTGGAGAAGTCCATCATTAAAATAGCTGCTTACTACTTATGAGATAAACGTACATAATTAAGCCTTTAATTCAAGTTTCTTGGACTGAAATAATTACTACAGAGAAGGCTACAACTTTACTGTGCATTTCTTTGAGGGATATTCCAGTGGCCATTCGAGTTTTCAGAATCTTCCCGTGATGCTGAAGCAAAGGAACCATTTTGTAAGCATTGCTGAATTTTCAGAAGGAACTATAGCAAATGTTTCTCTCAAATCAGAATACATAAAGTAGGGAGTCTCATTTGCATCTTTCTACCTGGGCTTTCAGCATAAGCCTAAACTGTCAAAAACCACTGTTGTTTATTTGTTGTTGATGTCTGAAATGTTCTGGAATCATGTTTCTTTCTCTGCCTCCTCACAGTGCTCTTTTAAAAAAAAAAAACTAGAACCATTGTATTTAAATGTGCATTTGGCCTTGGATCATTCTTAAGCACTCAGGGCCTGTCAAGATTGCAGAGTGAATAAATATGGGAAATAAATGAACAATGTTCCATGGTCATGATGATCATTAAGACATTTGTAAAACAAAACCCTTTACAGCTAAATAAAAAGTTAAAGCAGCACTATTGTTATAGAGCAGGGGTGTCAAAATCAATTTCATTGAGGGCCGCATCAGGGTTGTGTTGACCTCGGGAGGGCCAGGGAAGGGTATGGCCAGTGTGGGAGTGGCCAGTTCAACGTCACTCATCCAGGTTCTATTTTCAGCCACATCAGCCCTCCTGGGCTCTGTTTTCGGTCACGACCTGCAGCCTTCTGCCCGCAAAAACGAAGTTTGGGGAGGCCATGGACGGTTTCTCTGAGCTCCCCTTTCGCTGGCAGGGGCACCATGGGCTAGTCCTTTGCTGTTTCCAGGGTGTGCCTGCTGGTCAGATCTAAGCACCCCATGGGCCGGATTCGGCCTCCGGTCCTTGAGTTTGACACCCCTGTTATAGCGCAAGGGATTATAAAAAGTTCTGCCCAAATTTCTCCCTTTCCTATCCCCTCTGTGGAGAATAACTTGCTCATTCAATTGCCTTAATCCAAAATGTAGCTGCGTTTTAATAATTTATAACTGATAGATTTAAAAGGGGTTTGAAATGGGCTTAGATTTTCTAAAATTGATTACAGAAAGTCCTCACATAACAATAGTAACAGACCACAATTTTTATTGCTAAGTGATCTAGTTTTGAATCTTGTACACATGTGACTCTGCCACTTATTTTTGCAGAAATTCTGGTACTTCCGGTTGCTGCTGTTAAATAAATCACTACAGGTTGTTAAATGAGGACATGGCATGGTTGCCAATCTCCTGATGGCCTCCTCATTGACTTTGCTTATAGGAAGTCAACAGAGGTTGCAAATGGTGATGATGTGACTGTGGGATGCTGCAACATCATAATTGCAAGTTCACAGTCATGGGGATATTGTAGTTGATGATACAAGAACCAATTGTAACTATCTCTCATTCAGCACCATTGTAAATTCAAATGGTTGCAGAATGAATGATCATTAAGCAAAGACTACTGTATGCCATTCTCTCTAGTAAGACATATTTGTGTTATTGATAAATATGTAATCTTAAATGTTTTGATACATACTGTAATCTTATATGTTTCAATGTAAATTAAGCAACTCTTAATCTTTACTTTGTATAAAGATGTTAATCTTTATAAAGTGATCAATTATTTTAAAATTAATTTTAGTCTCTTCTAGAAGACATAAAAATTCAAGATGTTCTACAAAATCAATTTTATTATAATAAAGACCTGCGGTGTCTGTTCATGTTGCTGGTAAGATGTTAGTATTTTAATTTCTTATTTCTAATCAAGAAATAAACTAGCGATTCTGATAAATGGAAAAAAAGTATTGCTAAGAAAAAAAAATCTGATTTTATGCTAAAGTTCATAATCAATACATGATAAATGGTTTAGATATTTTTCCTTAAAATTTTCATAAGCTTTAGCAGATAAAACAAAAACCTAGAAGTAATTTTCAAGGAAGGAAAAATAATTTAAATTAATGCAATGGAATGTTAAGAACAATGGAATGTATTCCAATTAACACCCTGTGTGAGTCTGAGCATAAAGGTTTTTGTGATGAATCTATTGCAAGCATAAAATTGTGGATTTGTAAAATGTCATTTAGTTAGGACCTGCAATTTGGGTGCAGAATTGAAAAACGGATTTAACATGCTCTGAACAAAGAGACACCACTCAGAAGATTTATTTGGAACATTCTGAGTGGGGCTTCTTGCAACAAAACAGAAATCAATTTAAGTAGTCTAATATAGAAAACCATGGGAATTTGCTCATTTATTCGCCTGTAGTGGTAGTCCCATGTTGCTTGCTATTTACCACCCAACCTCTATAAAGAGATGGTGTGATGGAACCATGCTGCCACCCTCAATTCTAACCAAAAAGGACAGGTCCAAATAAACCTCAGCAAAACATCTAAATCTGCACCACAAAATTTTCACATGACTCAGCTTTATGTCAAGCAAATACTTACTATTGATCCCTGATCAGGTTCTCTTAAGTTAGCCAGTTTGAATTTTCCTTCTTGGAGAATACTTTCACCACCTGATTTGTCCTGTCTTGGGCAAGTCCAATATACAGTGTATTTATTCGGAGCAACAAAAATTACTGCACCTCTTTCCTGCATTAATGATCAGATTATTATTACTTTTTGTGAGAAATTGGATATTTTATTTTGGAATGTAAAATGTTCTCTATTTGCAGATGCTTGCTTCAAATAATATAACTGCGTCCCACCCTTATATTCGCGCGTCTGACTTCCTGGAAGCCAGTAAACTCTGCAGAATGGACACAAAAGCAAATATTGTGCATGGTAAGATAATATTTGAAAAAAATGAATGTATACATTTTCAGTACAGATAGTCCTCAGTTTACAACAGTTGGTTTAGTGTCCATTCAAAGATACAATGGCACTGAAAAATGTGACTTATGATTGTTTTTCAGTTATGTCCTTTGCAGCATCTCCATGATCATGTGATCAAAATTCAGATGCTTGGCAATTTGGCAACTGACCATTGCGGCCATAAACATGAACCAGTTGCTAAGCATCTGTGTCCCAAGGTCATGTGTTGCCAAGCGTCTGAATGCCAAGGTCATGGGATCACCTTTTGTGACCTGACAAGCAAGTCAATGGGGAAGCCAGATTCACTTAACAACTGGGTTACTAATTTATCAACTGCAGTAATTCACATAACAATTGTGGCAAGAAAGGTCATAAAATGGAGTAAAATTCACTTAACAAATATCTCACTTAACAACAGGAATATTGAGCTCAGTTGTCATAAATCAAAGACTACCTGTGTAACATTAAGGGAGGAAGGGATTAATACATAACGTATTTTTTGCACTAAGATGCACTGGACCATAAGATGCACATTAGCATTGGAGGAGGAAAAGAAATAAAAAAAACCTGCCTCTGCCTCCCAGCATCCATCCAGTATTCATCTAGCTAGCATCCTTGCAGCAGACAGCCTGGTCAGCTTTAGCACGTTATCACAGCCCCAGGACGTGGCTCGTCGGGGCTCCGCTCCATTGTGCCCACCACAAGTCAACTGAGCTGAGCTGCTGCTGCTGCAGGGGAACACTGGAGCCTTCACTGCCGAGCAGCTGATTGGCAGTCGGATCGGTCTCCTGAAATACCGCCGATCATCTGTTCTAGGTGGCGGGGATTGCCGCCACCTAGATCAGTTGATGGGCAGTATTCTGGGAGGCCGATCCAACTGCCAATCAGCTGCTCGGCAGCAAAGGCTCCAGCGTTCCCTGGCGGCAGCGAGCAGTAGCAGCAGTGACAGGCGCATCAACCCCCCTCTCCCCACCACAATATTCGCTCTATAAGACGCACAGACTTATTCCCCCACTTTTTGGGAGGGGAAAAGTACGTCTTATAATGTGAAAAACTGGTAATTTATGTGCAATCATAAAATTATGTGGTAGAAACATCCACCATAGAAACATGTTTTCTCCATTGCTTTTGAAGCTTGATGAGTAGGCTTATTAAACGAGGGTTTTTCTCTATCTAAGAACTGCTAATATAACTCTCTCTCTCCCCCTCTATACACAGAGACATACTTGCATAGATAGCTATATACATACATATATTTTTATTAAAGAATTTTAAGAGATTATAAGCAATGCAAAATTTGAAAGAAAAAGTAAAGTAACAAAAAATACAAAGAAATAAATAGAGAAGGGAAAGAAAGAAAACATAAAGATTATTATCCTTTCTATAATCAATTTTACCATCTTTGCTAATTCTGTCATCTTCACTAGCTATTCTCCATTGGGAGTATTTCAGTCTTTCCATTTTTGTTCATATAATAATCTCGTAGCAGTTACCATATATAAAAATAATATTCCATTTTCTAATTGTGTATCGATTATTCCAAGCAAGAAAAGTTGTGGTTTCAACTGAATATTAATCTTTAAAAATCTTTGTATTACTGTATTTTAACCCAGATAAGCCTTCATATTTTCCAAATTTCCAATATAAATTTGATGTACTTTTATAAATTCTAGATATATTTTTCTGCAGTCATGTGCATTTCAGGTTAGAACATAATATAAATTTTAGCCCTTTTTAGCCACATATTTTCCATATATTACATCCAAATTTTTTAGCCCTTTTTATTATATATGCTTTCACTTGTTATTCTTTCATTTCAAATTTTGACAAAAGTTTATACAGTTTGGCAATTATGTGCTCATCATTTGTACATAATTCAAATTGTTTTGCCTGCTTTTAATCCGTTTGCCTGCTATTTCTTTTCTATAAAATGCTTCTTGTACATTTTTGGGCACAATCTGAGTTTATATCCGTATTCAATATTATCTCTCAGCTGTCTATAGAAATGACATTGATCTTCATCAATAAAGACAATTTTCATCTTCTCAGTAAAATGATCTTGAATAACTAAAAACTATTAGGATAACCTTGAAGGTCCAAATGCACACAACAAATGACATGTATAAAAAAACTATTACAAGTCCAAAGTCTGCATATTCTATTTGAACACCAAAATTATACTTTGGATATTTTAAAAGAGAAGATGCTAATTTTTATCATCTTTCTCTTCTAGGTCTGTCTGTGCTGGAATTGTGCCTCATAATAGCTATGAAACATTTAAATGATACTTATGAAGGAGAACCATTTAATTTTCAGATGGTTTATCATGGTGAGGTGATAGTAGGTGTTTTTTTTTAAGATATATTGTTCCCCTAAAGCTGTAAAGTAATTAATACATGTTTGTTAATGCAGAGTATCAGAAGTTTGTACAGAGGAAAGCGCATACTATGTATAATTTTGAGAAGCCTGTTGTCATGAAGGTATGTGTAGTTTCTTTTCTAGAAAAAGCTGATTTCTACTCTATTATCATAGAACATTACTGTTCCAGATTCTTTTAACATTTAAACATGGTTTTTCTGAAACTCGTGCTGAAAAACGCTTATCTGAATTCGTGTATTTGACCATTATGTTTGGTGTTGTACTGCCCTCTGGTGCTCAGTTAATGCATTTGTGTAGCTTCCCACTTTAAACTAATTTAGGGCTGATTTTGACACCCAATTGGGGCTTAGATGGATTGTGATTTTAATTTTCCTTATACTTTTCTAGCGAATTATCTTTTAAACTACAGAATATAGTTTAGACTGAATCTACACATGATTTGCTTGTGTTACTTCATTTTTAGGCCTTTGAACGCTTGCAGCATCTTGAATTGATAAAACCCGTAGAAGGCCCATCTAATTCTGTACAAAAAGAATATTTGCTAATGAAACTGCTCCTGGACAACAGCCAAGTTATGGAAGCTTTGCAGGTGTATCCAAACTGTCCAACGGATGTCAAACAATGGGCTACAACTTCAGTCCATTGATTATATATTTCATAAGTTTGAGTTGCATTGAAGTTAACCAGTCTTCAAAACCAGCAATACCATTTGAAAAAAAATATTGATATTATAGACATTTGTCTTCAGCTGTTACGGAACTTGCTTAAATAATTGGGGGGGGACGGGTTCCTCTTCATTTTAAATAAAGTAAAATTTTCCAAGAAGTATATTATTTGGACCAAGATTAGAAATTACCATATTAAAATGTTTTCATATATCAAATGAAAATAATCTTCATTTTAGTTTGTTTTAATTTTTCTGAATACTAGTATCTATTGCCCAAAATGTTTGAAAAGAAACAAGCGAATAAAATTGTCACTAAAGTATCTAAAAGCTCATGTGTTCTGTTATAGTTCGGTAGGGAAGTAAGATTTTTTTCAGAGAGTTGAACAGACTCAACATCATTTTGTGTACGTATTAGTAGTTATTCAAGACACAAGAACTACTTTCTTAGTCTTAAAATGCAATCCCAATAAAAATTCTAATATTGGTATATTACACCTATTTGAATATTGTAGTAACAGTATTTCCTGACAAAGTGGCATTGTAAGCAGAAGCAACCTAGATAGACATTTCTGTTCTGTATAAAATATGATAAGATTGCAGACTTGGGAGGTAGGACCAGAAGAAGAAATATTTTAATAATAGAGACATATTCCTATCTACTGTTCATTGAATTAATGCAATGTAAAGTTAGATATTAAAGGCAACCTGATTGTAAATTACCAGGTTAAATGGTTATCTACCTAACTGGAGACTGAAAAGTATAATTTGGTTTTATGGATTATTCACATTAAAAGAGACATTCTGTTTTCAGATTTAAAAAGGCTGTTGGCGTGAAATTTTTGTAGGATGGGCAATTAGTTTAATCATTACAAGAAAACAACATTCAAAATATACTGAGACACTACCTGATTCATCTAATGAAGAAAATGTATTTGCATATATGAACCATGTAGTTCATATCATTTGCATTGGTTTTTACTGCCATTTGAAGCATTAATCATAATATAGACATTATACTGGAGGGATTAGAATGCTAATATGAAAGGTTAAATGCAATCTCATTGCAAATCATTAAGACACCGATAGAGCATTAGCTTGAAGTTTCTGAATCAATTTTGAAAAGTTGCAGTAACGAGCAAGGCTTGTTGTCAATTCTCCTAGTTGATAAATCAGTACAATAAGATAAAAAGCAAACTTGGAAATAATTTGTCCCCTTCAGTAGCATCAAATTCAGCAGCACTCCTGTCTTGTGCAGTTGGCTCTTCACTGCAACAATTCAATTTAACCTTGTAGTTGCGTTACAGATAGTTCTCTACTTATGATCACAGTTGACTGGAACTTCCATTGCAAAATTAAATGAATTCGTTGTAGGAGATGACCAGGCGGAGCCTGAAGGTAAGGTCAAATGTGACATCTGTTTGGAATCCTTACGCAACCACAAGAGACCTAAATCCAGCCCCTTGGAAATTCCGTTGACCGTTATCTAGCGCCAATTTGACTTGAATTTAGTAGATCAGATTTTTTTTTGTTTAGGTTGCAGGTAATAAACTTTTAGTGCTTTGAACTAAACTCCTGCTTCTGGTTATTTGTGCCTGACAGTCATCTCATGATCCTGCCTGATATTACAACTCTATTGCCATGGTTGTTAAATGAATCCAATTTCCTGTTGAAAGCTGACTCAGGATCATTTGCAAGTGGCCATCACGTGACTCCGGGATGCTGTAATCCTCATAAACTCATGCTAGTTGCCAACTGCTCAAAAAGTGCTTGGTGAACAGCGTATTGTCTGGGTCAATATATTTTGCACACAATTCTAATAATGATAGTACCATTTAAATATACATAATCATCTTTAACTTCCAACATTTGTGTATGCATAATAATTATATGTTCTATTATATTTCAGTAAGCATAATACTATTTTCCCAATTTCTACTTTCTACTACTTTTTTTCAAACACTTAATAAAATAACCAAGTTAAAAAATATTCTACAAGTGAAACTCGAAAAATTAGAATATCGTGCAAAAGTTCATTTATTTCAGTAATGCAACTTAAAAGGTGAAACTAATATATGAGATAGACTCATTACATGCATAGCGAGAGAGTTCAAGCCTTGATTTGTCATACTTTTGATTATTATGGTTTACAGCTCATGAAAACCCCAAATTCATAATCTCAGAAAATTAGAATATTGTGAAAAGGTTCAATATTCTAGGCTCAAAGTGTCCCATTCTAATCAGCTAATTAAGCCATAACACCTGCAAAGGGTTCCTGAGCTTTTAAATGGTCTCTCAGTCTGGTTCGATAGGAATCGCAATCATGGGAAAGACTGCTGACCTGACAGTTGTGCAGAAAACAATCATTGACACCCTCCATAAGGAGGGAAAGCCTCAAAAGGTAATTGGAAAAAGAAGTTGGATGTTCCCAAAGTGCTGTTTCAAAGCACATTAATAGAAAGTTATGTGGAAGGGAAAAGTGGAAGAAAAAAGTGCACAAGCAGCAGGGATGACCGCAGCCTGGAGAGGATTGTCAGGGAAAGGACATTTAAAAGTGTTGGGGACTGTCACAAGGAGTGGACAGAGGCTGGAGTCAGTGCATCAAGAGCCACCACACACAGATGGATCCTGGACATGGGCTTCAAATGTCATATTCCTCTTGTCAAGCCGCTCCTGAACAACAAACAACATCAGAAGCGTCTTACCTGGGCTAAAGAAAAAAAGAATTGGTCTGTTGCTCAGTGGTCCAAAGTCCTCTTTTCTGATGAGAGCAACTTTTGCATCTCATTTGGAAACCAAGGACCCAGAGTCTGGAAGAAGAATGGAGAGGGACACACTGCAAGATGCTTGAAGTCCAGTGTGAAGTTTCCAGAGTCTGTGTTGATTTGGGGAGCCATGTCATCTGCTGGTGTTGGTCCACTGTGCTTCACTAAGTCCAGGGTCAACGCAGCCGTCTACCAGGAGATTTTGGAGCACTTCATGCATCCTTCCACAGACAAGCTTTATGGGAATGTTGACTTCATTTTCCAGCAGGACTTGGCACCTGTCCACACTGCCAAAAGTACCAAAACCTGGTTCAATGACCATGGGGTTATTGTGCTGGATTGGCCAGCAAACTCACCTGACCTGAACCCCATAGAGAATCTATGGGGCATTGCCAAGAGAAAGATGAGAGACATGAAACCGAACAATGCAGAAGAGCTGAAGGCCGCTATTGAAGCATCCTGGTCTTCCATAACACCTCAGCAGTGCCACAGGCTGATAGCATCCATGCCATGCCTCATTGAGGCAGTAATTGATGCAAAAGGGGCCCAAACCAAGTACTGAGTACATATGCATGCTTATACTTTTCAGAGGTCCGATATTGTTCTATGTACAATCCTTGTTTTATTGATTTCATGTAATAATCTAATTTTCTGAGATTGTGAATTTGGGGTTTTCATGAGCTGTAAGCCATAATCATCAAAATTATGACAAATCAAGGCTTGAACTATCTCACTTTGCATGTAATGAGTCTATCTCATATATTAGTTTCACCTTTTAAGTTGCATTACTGAAATAAATGAACTTTTGCATGATATTCTAATTTTTCGAGTTTCACCTGTATATCTATCCATCATCTCTTGCCCTTTTTAGAATTTCAACTCTTATTAACTTTTTGGTGAGTCATAAGTAATTTTTTTTAGCATTTTTTTAGCATTGTCATAACTTCAAACAAATGGTTGTAAGTAGAGACTGGTAAAGGAAACATAGTTATAGGTAACTAATTAGGCAGGTTGTCTTGTTATGGACCCTTTTGTCACATCTGGACTTGGCTTGTTACCTTTAAAATTTTACAGTCTCTTAGGGACTATCTAAAAGGAATTAGTAGAGCTGTTTCTCATTAGCTAACTAGCATAATATTTTGGGACCAACAGACATATTGGGAAGATATTGGACACTCGCAACACATGCCCTGAAAAGGAGGAAGGCATTTCTAGCCACCAAATGGATGTGATGAACAGTCACAAATACAGTATATCATTTAACATAAGCCAATTGAAGGATTTTTTTTATTTCATCTGTCCCAAAGGTGCTTTTTGAAGAGGCAATTGGACTTTGTTTTTTCTTTGAAGACGTTTTGCTTCTCATCAACAGAGCTAAAGAAACTTCTTCGATGAAAAGCGGCATGTTTTCCAAGAAAACCCAGAAAGTCGTTGCCTCTTGAAAAAGCACCTTTTGGACAGTCATGACCTGGATGACTGAGTATCTCCATACACATGCTTTATATCTTTCTTTTTTTTTCCTGAACACATAATCACACCTCCAAAATATTGCATTGCCACTGCCTGGAATCTTGATTTGGTGGCATTTCTTTCAATGTTGCTTTAAGACCTTTTTTTAAAAAGAGTTCATAGATCACGGAACATTGACAGGTATAAAGTGCTAAAGGAAATCAAGATATTTCATTGCTGCCACTCTGCTAGAATCTTGACAGAACTTCCAGTAGAACTGGAAGAAAAATTCAAAAATGGATTGTTATAGGATGCTTGTTTTTAAACAGCTTTGCAGTTTCTACCAAGTATAATATTGCAAGCAAAGCATTCCATTATAAATGAAAATTTATGGCCTGAGAATCTTTGCAACATATCTCTAGTGAACTTCAAATATACTAGTCAGCATCTGTAAACTGCAGTAGGAAGGTCATTCCATGTGTATGTGCGTGTCCGTGTGCGTGTCCATATGCACCGGAGATACCATGTTGTATTTTTTTAATCTATTCCTTGTTTATTGCTCCCTTTTGAATTTCATTCACTACTACCTAGTAAATTCTGGAAATTTTTAAGGTCTAGTGAGTTAAAGTAACTATGTCCATAATTCAAGGAAGTAAAAAAAAAAAATCAGAATTCAATTACACATGAATAGTTTACCTGGTGCTTGTTATGTCCATGTTTTCCCATGTTTATCATTATAAAATACCAAGTTAGCTTGTTGCTTTAACAACAGGCTTATTCAGCCAATAGTTGTGCAGTCAATAAAGATCCTGTGGTGGTGCAGTGGTTTGAATGCAGTATTGCAAGCTAACTCTGCCTACAGCCTGCAGTTCAGTTCTGATGGGGCTCAAGGTTGACTCAACCTTCCATCCTTCTGAGGTTGATAAAATGAGGACCCAGATTGTTGGAGGCAATAGGCTGGCATTTGTAAACTTAGGGGGCTGTAAAGCACTGTGAAGCGGTATGTAAGTCAGAGTGCTATTGCTATCTTGAATATGTTAATTATCAGAAAAGAATTTAAATTCATAGAATTGTACTTATAAACTCTTCCAAGAATTGGGGAGACAAGTGTGTACGGTCCACACTTGCATTTTGTGATATAAAGTTGAATAGGCTACATCACACTTGTTAGATGCTTAATTGCTGCTAATTTGAGTTACTGCTTTGCACGTTATTTTCTTGGAAAACGTTTGTGACATAAAAAGTTTCAAACAATAAGGCTTTTTGTCAGAATAAGAGACTAAATTAATTGAGTGATCATAGAAACTTGATAGAGAGTGGGCACTGCCTCCTTGCAATCAGATTAATCAATAAAAATTAAATCATTCTAAGAGAAAACAGAGTTAATGTACTATAGAATAGGGGTGATTTGGAAAAGTGAGCATACGTCTGACCTCAGAATATACATGAATGCTCTATTACTTACTGAAAAAGGACCATAATTATATCTGGCATCAAAACTGTTTCTTGAAATACAAATATTTCCCAATCATACTTTACATATTGGATATAATTGTAAGTGTAAATGAGATGTTACTCTCCTAAAAAAAATCTCCTTTTCCTCTGTTACTGTAGAAAGGGAGTGAAAAGAGTACTATGTAGAGCAGGGTGACAAACTTGGTCCCATTGCGGACCGTATCAGGATTTTGTTTGCCCTTGGGGGGCGGAGTAAGTGTGGCCTGGTCATCACAGCTGACTGGGTCGACATGGTCAGGGTGGGCCAGGGCCAGGGTGGCACCTCACCATCTCCAGGACGGCCCCGTGGGTTTATCGCAGGCCGCGTGTGACACGTCTGGTCTAGAGCCTGGAGGGGTTCAACCTTTTTGCTTGCCTAGGCTGCATTGAGTGAAGAGGAATTGTCTTGGGCCACTTATATAAAATATACAATATAATGTATATAAATCACATATTAATGCTAAGTTTACGATCTTGTGCGGCCACATTACTTGCTGTCTAGGGCTGCATGCAACCATGGGCTGTGGGTTGGATACGCCTGATCTAAAGTCTTTCACAGTATGCACAAATAGCCCATGCCCTTTTGAAGGTTGCTAAGCTGGGGCCATCAATTGCCCAGGTTAGCATGTAAAATAGGGAAAAATAATACTCGTAATTGTTCAACAGTATCTAGATGTTCTAGGCTTCCTTGAAGCCCCACATTTGGAAGATAAATGATAATTTGGACCTCATTCTTATGCAGTACTCAACTACAATAGGGCTTCTTCTATGCTGTATCTGAAAATATGAAATATGTAATCATAGGGTCATAATTTGCAGCACTGTGTTCAGTCATTAGGGCACTTTTTCCCACAATTTTTGAACTTTTTTCATATAGACTGCGGTACACTGAGAATCACATCAATTGAGCTACATAGTTTGCAATTTTTTATTCAGTCAAATTATTATCGGTTTAGTTTATCGGAACTGTTAAGCTTTTAAAAATTCTATTATATCAAACAACAAAAAGAGAAGGGAGATTTTCTTTACATACATGATTTCCCATAGATATAATTCCCTCAGTGATATTTTCTGTGTGTTTTGCTCTGGGTCAGGGGTCTGCAACCTTAAACACTCAAAGATCCATTTGGACCTGTTTCCCACAGAAAAAAAAACACACCAGGAGCCACAAATCCTGGGTGGGCGTGGCCAACTCAACATCAGTCACTCCCAGTCACATGATCCCCCCCAGCCACGCCTACCCAGCCGGTCATTAGGGCAGAGAACCAGGTACCACAAAACCCTTTTCTCTCTCTCCCCCTCTCTGTAACTCTCTCCCCCTCTCCCTGTATATGTTCCTCTCTCCCCCTTTCCCTGTGTGTCTATATGTCTGTCTGTCTGTCTGTCTGTGTCTGTCTGTCTGTCTGTATCTCTCTTTCGGTTTCTGTGTCTCTTCTCACTCTCTCGGAAAGCTCAGCAAGGTTTCCTTGGGGCTCTTCGGTACTGCTTTTCTTCTTTTTGGAAATCCGGGCTGGCTGAGGAACGAGTGCAAAGCGCAGCGGAGGCTTTCCTTCGGGTAACCCTCCTCCTCCTCTCGCGATTCCCTGGTCAGCTATGGTGGGGCCAGGAGTGTGTACACGAGTGGGGAGACCCTCCTCAAGCGAGCCAGTTAGCTCGGCCAAAGTGCAGCAAAGGTGTGTAAGGGGTGTGGGGCCACTCGCTTGAGGGTCTCGCTGCTCCTGCGCACACTCCCGGCCCCACCACAGCCAGCCAGGGGGTCGTAAGAGGAGGAAGAGGGTCACCCAAAGGGAAGCCTCTGCTGCGCTTTACGCTCGTTTCTCAGCCAGCCCGGATTTCCAAAAAGAAGAAAAGCAGTAGCGAAGAGCCCCAAGGAGAGCTCACCAGTTTGGCCCTGCCTCGGCTTTCCTGACCCCCGGGGTGTGTGAGGTTTGGTGGGGCCAGCCCCCTTTTCCCGCTGCCCTGAGCTACTTAATGTCGCTGCTGAGCGCTAACCCTAACCTGGATCCCATTCCAACCCCACCAGCCCTCGTGTTAGCAAGGCCGGTGTCAGTTGCAGCCAGGTCAATGTCTCAGGGTGGATTGTGCATCTCCCCAAGCAACCGAGGCACACCCAGCACCAACAAGGCCCGGGAAAAGCTCCAGCAAAAGTGAGGCACCTGAGAATCAGCCCTGGCTGCTTCTCCACCCCCCACTCCCACCCCCGTCGTTGCCCTTACCTTCTCAGGCCAAGTTAGGAGTGACTGGGAAGGAAGGGCATGGGGCGGGGCCAGCCAGTGAGGGGCAGGGAGCTGCAGCAGAGGGCCCAAAGAGCCAGAAGCCAACACCTATTCTGGAAGTACAGTCTACTTCTGCAGGGTAAATGTAAAGAGTTGCTGTTAATATTGGCCAAAGCCATTTCCAGTCTAAAAATATTTTCAGTTTTAATTATTCTTAGTAGCAAAAAAACAAATTGAAATGCTGCTCTTAAGACTTTATTTCTGCCAAAGGACATTTCATTTGCGATTGCTGAAATACAATCATAATTCAGTTTCCAAATTGGCAAAACAAAATCTGAGGAAAGTAACCATTGTTATGTGCAATATAAAAAATACTTCATTTTAAAGAAAGAATCAGAACAGTGTGCAAGTCATAGTAGTCACTTAATTTTTTATTCATTGTTCTGTGGGAATAGGGAAAGAGAAGCATACATTTATACAATATTTCACAATCACTTTTATTCAAGATGGGGTTATTCTTAAATACTTGCCGAAAAATAGCAAGAGCAATTTGACAGTAGTACAACAACCTGTGCCCAGAACACTGACAAGTACCGAGTAAAGCTAAAATAATTGCTTACCAATATTTTGAGAGGTAACATCTTATATGGGCTTGAGTGTGCATTAAAAAAAAAAAGTACTGCTGGTTGAATATATTGAGGTAAATGGTGTTCCAACAAGGATACTATTTTATCCCTTGTTTGTAATCCTGTACATAGCTTGCTAAATTTTATACCAAATATTCCTAATAAAAATGCATTAAAAAGTTTAAAAAGAGAATTGGAAAAAGGTCAACCAATCAGTCACCTCACTTTGTTAAACTACGATCAGCAATTTTATTCTGTAGAACAGTAGTATGAACACTATTTATTACTACTACATCTGATTACACCTTAGTTATGCAAGAGCTACTCCACATGGATTTTGCTATCAAAGAAAGTATAAAGTTGTGTATTTTAATCCAGACTCATTTTCAGAATACCACCATGAATGAGAACACTAGGTCAAAGAACTCCAACAATTACGAGGCACAATCTGTTCCAAAAATGCTAAGTATATTTAGCGACTGTACAAAGAGTAGTCATGCATCATGTGATATAAAGTTCTTCGCATCTAACACAAACTGAAAAGGTATTGCAAAGTTTAGACTTTGAAGTTTTTCACAAAACTGATCAGTTAAATCCTGTGGCAATTATATGGCAGCCAACTAAGTAGTCACAGGCAAACCAAAGGACAATGAAAGCTCGAGTCTCAGCCCGGGCTTTCCTTCACAAGTCAAAGATACAAGGTAAATCACCAGAGCTGGTCAGATCAATACAAGCTGTATGGTTCAAGTACAGAAAGCAACAACAGCCACAATATCTGCCAGAAAGCAGAGCACTTTTCCTAGCTCAGACATTAATGGTTAAATTTCCTAGGATAGATCTTGGCTTAAGCATTTTTGAAAGAACTGTCCACCTTTAAACTTTCCAAACAAAGAAGTCGCGATTTTGTGTGAGACTATTTTGGTGGATTTTTATTTTGGGGCAGTTTGGTGGATTTTAATAATTTGACAGATTCTACCACAAAAAAAGTGTTTACTGATGAGAGGCATCTTGAAAATCAAAGACTAGTTAGGGGGAAGCAAGGAAGGGAAGTTTTGGGAAACTATTTTTTTAAAAAACTCTTCTCACGTAGACATGGTTCTGGCTTGATTGTCAGTTTTGATATTTCCCCTATATGACCTGCAATTTCAAATGCATTTGCAAAAAACATACATGAAAAGGTCTTATTGGCTTGAGTCATATTGATGGCAGTCTATTTGATTTAAAAAAATAAATACCTGCTCTATGAAGCTGTGGTGGGAGATTTGCAACCAAGAATGGTATTTGTAGGCATGTGCTTTTAAAGATGAACACTGATAAAACTACATTTTCCTAGTATGAATATTTTCATTTTGAGGGAAAAAACTATACATGCCAATCACTCCTATCAATTTAGATGATGCTGTTGCAAATCAACCCCTACAAGTAGAATCAAGCAAATCATTTTTTATTCAAAAATACATCTGAAGAACAAGTATTAAGTTTGTTAACAAAAGTAGCAAGTTATGCCCAGCAACATCCACAATCAAATTATGGCATCACATTTTGTAACTATGAGACCAAAACATGTCTCTAGAGTAGAGAAATCCTCTAATACTCGTCTCTGTTTAGAATCTGATGTCCAAAATCTTGTTTATAATTATTTCTTCTACATTTTCGGAGATCAGTACACACTTTAAAAAAAAAAACACCTCACTGTGAATTCATAAATCTTGAAAATAACATTCACAGTGAACATTTAACTATGACCACCTTTTCCTTTATAAATCTAATGTATTATTTAAATATAAAACTGCCTAGAATCTGATAATACTGGCTACTGTTGGTTCAGTACTTTTGTTTTGAGAATTCCCTTTGGCTTGTATACATATAAACTATTCAAATAATCGTAGTGTATTATTACTGCCTTTTAAAAGTACTTTGGCACTGCCTACTTTCTGCCCCTTTTGCTAGAGTCTTCTTAATGGATGGGCTCCATATTATCAATCCCTATAACTCCTTCAATTCAGTAGTTCAAAGTTGTAGGGTTTTTTTTCCCTCACTAGACTATGCTACATTATCATTTCCATTGAAATAACTGCAAATTTGATGGTAAAGTTTTTTTTAAGAGAGTCTGTATTTTTAATTTTGAAAGTGACCACAAGTTAAACCTATGTATCACTGATCAATGTTCCTCTGACAAGCCGGCACCAAAAAAAAAATAAAAATCAAGTGATGTGAAACGACAAAAAGGCAACAGATATAAAGTGTGTGGCATTCAAGGTCATGAAGCTTCCTGAGGTGATCCTGAAACAACACAGTGGAAATAGAGTTATGTCCAGGGCTGGACCCACACACTGGGTGGTTGGAAAAATTCCCCCTGCCACCTCCTTCCCCCAAATAGCTGAAGGAGTTTCTGAACCCCTTTTGTACTGGACAGGGGCTGGGTTGCTGGGGAGGGGAATGGAAGGAAGGGTAGCTTTCACCATCTTGTTACATATGTCTCTGTTTGGATCAACCCACTGTGTCCTGTTTAGTGAAATAGAAAATAACACTAGACAAAATATACATGAAACAGCAAACAGTTTCTTTGAAAGAATTAATGTTAAGAGCTTTCCAGTGCCAGAGCTCAATAAAATAATAATAATAATAAAAAAATCATGCTTAAATTTTCAAATTCCCATCAGACACAGCAAACCTAAATATTTAGTAAAATAAATGTATACACTATTTCGGGAACTGGAGATAAAGCTTTTAACTAATTGGGAAAGTCGTCATTGAAAAGGCAATACATTTTTTACACATAAGCTAGAACAAGGAAAGACTAACACACCATTTTAGGAATGGCCATGGACTGTTGGCATGAAGCACAGCTTATAACCTTTAAAAAATACACCATGGATTTTTTTAAACGCATCATTTACAAAATCTGGATCAATTTATTATTTCAGTTTTATTAGTGTTGTCAATTCAATTTAGCATAGGTGGAACTGAGGTATACCTTGTTGAGGGAGGTTAAGTAATGCTTGGAAGCCTTTTTGCTAGATCCCACTTTGATTACATAGAACAGCAGCACACTAAACATTCACAAGCTGTGTCATATTGGCATTACAATAGTCATTTATATAAACACAACAGCAAATGCAATAAAAACAAGTTACCCTTTTTCTTAAATCTGAAATGAAATGTCTGATTTAAAAAAAATAGCAGTAGTTCATTTTAAGGAATTAGTCTGACATGTTAAGAAATACATTGTCAGTTTTTAAAATGTCTTGACAAGCCGAGATAGGTCCATGTTCTTCAGGTACGTTTAACATCATCTTGCCATTTTCTCCGGCATATGCAGTAAGTCTTCTGGATCCAAGTCTGGAGAAGAACAAAGAGGAATCTTCCTTCTGACACTTCAGAGACGGACTTACCATTTCATGCTGAAAATTACTGACCAGAAATAGGCCAGTTGACTTGGCAGTTCCAGTGCTGAGTCTTATTGGTCAAGAAGAGTGACCGCTGCTACTATCATAGACTGGATTCTTTGGGAGGAAAATCCACATTTGTCACCATGGTGACCACAGTCACAATGTCTTCTGTTGTTATAATGTTTGTTAGTCTTTGCATTTGGATAATCCTTTCCTCTACGCAGCCTGCTGATAATCGAGCTTCTGCATCATGATCCCAACACTCTTCTATTGTTTCACAGAGCATTGCCATTCCCTAAAAATAACAACAAGAAAGGATACGGTTTTGGAAGTCTTATACAATAGGACAGAATATAAAAACACTGTCCTGAAATACATAAACAGCATCTAAGTTTTTTCCAAATTAAAACAAAAGGAAGAAAACATCTGGTGATATTAACACCTTCTATGCAACCTTGACATTGAGGAGCGGCAGCAAGTGCCTAATTCTGAAATCCAGAATCAATTTGGAATGAGAAAAGTTTCAAGATCATATAAATACTTACTGTTTATCTTCCTTAGCTATCAGCCCAAATATATAACTTGGGTTCATGACTGTTACCTTTCTAATACCGGTTCCTGTATATCTGAAAAGCTACTACGATATCGTTTTAGTTTCTCCTCCTTTTCAAAAGTTGAATTGATGCCATTTCAAATTAGGATTTTGTAACAAGGGTTGACTCTCCTCTTCCTTCTGCCAAGAGATTTTTTTTAATCTAGCTACTTTTTAAAAAATTCCTTCCAGTTTTACAGACTGGCTAGACTGGTGTAGGATTTAAATGGGGTCAGATTGGGGCAAATACAGGTTAAAAATGAGACAGATTAAAAGAACTTTATCAGCTAGCAATTGTGACGTGTTAGAAAGCCATTGTGTTGTTGAGAGCCTCTGAGATTGCCTGAAACCTTTTGATGTATGCAATTTTAGCAATCTCTCTCAATTGTGTTCATAGACTTTTCCTAAAAAGGTCATGCCTGCCATGGGATGTCCTGGGAGGCTGAAATGCTCTGATATTAACTTCTCCTTGTTTTGAATACACGAGGAAAAAACACTTTTGCAGACAATTACCATGCCCTTCAAATAATAGCCTATGACCATGACAAATATATCTGTTATCCTGTTTTTATAGGTGAAAGACAAATAAAAAATACGTATAAGTATTGAGTCCTGTTAAATCTCAGAAAGGGTGGAAAAAGCAGCTAACTCCATCTGCATTAAATGCTTTCTTACCTTTATTTTATTTATTTATTTATTTTGGACAATCCAATGTTTACTACCTCAAACAGAAGCAGTGCAAAACTAAGATGAAACAGTAACAGATCACCTCAAGGATCTTATAGGAGTCTATCCTGAATGATTGGATTTCCACCCAAAGTAAAAAGACTAGAAAAATGATTTGGTTGCAAAAAATATCCTAATTTTGGAACCAGAGTTCACTACATATGAAAAAATTCTGTTTTCAACAGTCTTGTGATAATTAGGGCATATCAATTCTATTATGTTATGCAGATATCTGAAGTGAAACTGGAAGAATGAAAGTTAAATTAGGATATCTTTCCTAGGTGTAGACTAGAGAATAATATGAATCAAAATTCTCTTCAGAACAATTTTAATTTCTATTAATAGAATCTATGTTCAAACTTAACACTGAAGTACATAGAAATGTGTCACACTTAACATATTAACCTATATTTTTATACAGTTTATTAAACTGGATTAATATTAATATTAAACAGCCCCTCTTACATTTAGTGACTGCAAATATATAACTTTTTGCTAAATAGTAAAATAAAATTTTAAATAAGAATATTATTTCCAATATTTGGAACTTCATTTAGACCTTTTTTGTACTTTGATCTCTGCAATTCCAACTGCTCTTAAGAGAATTCAGCTGTTGAGTTTTCCTCTTTTATAGAACAGCATCTGAGAAAAAGCAATTATATTGAAGTAAAAAAAGAATTTTAAGTTACCTATGGCAATATTCTATTCATTATTTTAATGAAGATGCACTGAAAGGCGGATCTTCCCATAATTCAAAAGGTTACCTTAAGGCATGGGTGTCAAACTCGTGGTGCCATGTTGCCATATTGCAACATTTTTTCCCTTTGTGGAGCTGGGGTGGACGTGGTCTGCATGTGACGCATCTGGCCCACGGCCACCAGTTTGACACCCCTGCCTTAAGGTAACAGAATCGCCATTCTAGAAAATTCCATAGCTTTGCTTCTTCGAGGTCTTGTTCCAAAGAATGCAAAAGGAGTATCTTTTGGGATCAGAATGGAAGTATTCTTGGACCCACAAGACTGAATCCCCTTCCATTCTGCCAAAGTACCTCTCACTGGTAGCAAAGCTACAGGAATTAATGGGGAGAGGTAACACAAACCACTGGGAGAAATAGGGGAGGGGTATACATAAAAGGCCCCTCTTCACACTTTTTGTAGAGTTTGCCATATCATAGAAGGAAGCAGCTTTCCCCAATTCCAATTCTTCCTACCCATGTAAAACTGAAGCGCAGATAGGCTTGCTGGATTTTATAAATATTTTTAAAACATAATATTTTTAAACAGCATGATACTGAAGTTCAATTTCTCCATTTGATTTTAATGTATTTTTATAGGTTAAAAAAGTTTTATCTTCTGAAGAAAAGTTTCAGTACAGGTAGTTCTAGATTTACAACCAAAATTCAGCCCAAATTTTTTGTTTCCAAGTGAAATATTTGTGAATTTTGCCTCATTTTACGACCTTTTGTGCAATAGTTGTTAAATTAATCACCGCAGTTGTTAAGTTAATGGTTGTTAAGTGAATCTGGCTTCCCCATTGACTTTGCTTATAAGAAGGCCACAAAAGGTGATCCCGGGACATTGCAACCGTCATAAATATGAGTCAGTTGCCAAGCTATGAGTGACTATGAGGATACTGCAGCGATTATAAGTGTGAACAGCAGTCATAAGTCACTTCTTTCAACGCCGTTGTAACTTTGAATGGTCACTAAATGAACTGTTTTAAGTTGAGGACTACCTGAACTGGCAACATTATTTATTACTTACAGCATGTTTCTGCCAACACTCTCTCAGAACAGGCCTCTTCTTTTTATGTACCACAACCTCCTGCATATCTTCCAGAGAAGGATGCTGACCCACTTCTTCCTCAAAAGGCAACATATACTCATCCACGGGTCCTGCATTGTAGGAAATAATAATAATACATTACATAAATTCTGTTAACTTCTAGTTTCATGCTGATCAGGTTAAGAGACTAGAATGAAATCTGGTAGCTGGTTTATGACTGTCCAAATTGATTATATTGATCAAGGGTCAGATAATGGGACACATCTAGCATATTTTAATTTTTTTCCTGTAAGTCAGATCTAGGCTTCTAAAGCATCGTTTCCAAGGCCCAATGCAACCTTCAATGGTTGTACAATAACAGATCTGTATACAGCTATTCCTTTTTAAAAGTATGATGAAGTCTGACAAAACTAGCATAAATATTCAGCACAGTAAGTTATTCAAAGTATTAGAAGAATGAACTTAATTGTAATTACAATTCTTGAAATAGCCATCTGTGAATTCATTTTTCACATCTGTGAATTTTTCAAAAAAATCAAAACTAAATATTTGCTCAGACACTTGCCCCATACATATCATCTGGCTATCAGGTCTGGCTCCTGAACCGTTGTAGTTCCTAAGACTACTACCTGAGATCTAAAGGGATTGATAAAGCCATCCAAGAGTAAGCACCATGAGACTGGTTGGATGAATTAACAGATTACTTGAATAGCTGCAATTACAGGTAAAATAAGGAATCATGTTTTCTGTGATTCACACATAGATGACCAGGAAGCTTTTTACTTAAACGGATGTTGTGATCATTGCAAATAATCAGAGACAACTCATCTTCCAAAAGTTGCATTTGTCTGGGTATAAAATGCCATCTATAAAGTTGAATGAACATGGAAGGCTGTGCATATATAATTACCCAGCATAGTTCTGGTAAGGGATATTCTGGAGGAAGTCTGCAGTGAAGGACACACGGTATGGAGAGCTAGCAAAGCGGTATGCAGGGAACTAATTTCTTTCTTAGGTTTTTTATTGTCTCTTTTGGTGCGTAAATATGTTTTTTTTCTATGTGTCTATTGGTGTGGCTGAGCTATCTGAATGCCAAGCTTCTAGAAATTCCCAATGTTTCTGGATTTGGCTTGGTCTAAGATGCTAACAGTTTCCCAGTTGAAACCGTGATTGAGTATGTCTCTGTGTTGTGAAATTAAAGACATTTCATTGACTGCTAGTTGGTGTTCTTGGATGTGCTCCACTAGTCTTCTGCCTATATGTCCTACATAATGGCCGTTACAGGCCTTACACTGTCAGTATCAACTGCTTACCATCTGATGCTGTACATCGTGATGCCAATTCCCATAGAACTAATCCCATCGCATACATGTCTATTCTCAAAAATGCATCTCGCTGGAAGTTTATAGCACCTTCTAATACTTCAGGAGCCATGTATCTTCGGGTACCAACCTTGAAAATAAGAATAATCATTAGGCTTACAAACATGCAAATTCAAACTAATTAGATCTCACTATACATTCTAGAGAAATAATGAGTACCGACATTAAAATCACTCGGTACTTAGAATTTGGAGTCCTATAATTTATTTTGGAACAGCTTGCTATCAAAACCAAAAATACGCTGAACAATATTTCTTAAAGAAGTAGGTAGCCTTAGAACATTACCTATTAAAAAAGCATTAAAAATCTCTTGATACAAATAGTTTCAATAGCTTTCATTATTTTGAAATGGCAAGGAAAAATATTGCAAAGTATATAATAAAATAAAGTATCTTAATTTTTATTTTCGTTTAAACTTACCTGACCATGGGTATCGCCAGCTGACTTCCCAGCCTCAAATTTTAAAGCAAGTCCAAAATCAGCGATACATGCCGTAAGATTATTTTTCAATAACACATTTTTGCTCTTGATGTCCCTTGAAAAAAATGAAGTACAAAATTGAAAACTACCATATTTAAAAGGGATCAGAATAACATTTGATTATGTTTAACTATAATATAATTTATTATTTGATTATAGCTGCAGAGATGAAGAAATTTTGGTTTGGTAACTGGACATACAATAGCTACTGTTTACAATTAAACCAATGACCAGTACCATTCACACAGATATACAACACAATCAGAGCGCTTAGCTTAGGAAATGGAGGAAAAGATGCAAAAGACTAACTAAAAAGACTTGCCTAATTAGACATGTAATTTGAAGCTCTAATGCTGCCTCTTATAAAATAACAATAGGATGCAAAATACCCTTCTCCAAAATGCTCTGTGGAGAAGGAAACGGGAGTAGAAAATTTTATTTGCATTCTGATCACTGATTACTTGTTCTTCCTTCTACAAACTGGGTTGCATCCACACTGGGTTGCAATATAGGAGAGCTCTGGTTTTGACAAAACTGCTCCCAACTCTTCTACCTTGCAAGTACCTAAAAGGCTGCCCTGGAGGACTGGAAAAGAGTCCAAAAGAGCATGGGATGACTACTGTACTTGGGAAGGCAATTAAAACCAGAGCTACTATTGTATACTATTGTAAAGATCAGATGATTGATAGACAGATAGACAGACAGACACACACACACACACACACACACACACACACACAGGCGACAGGGGATGAGGGTGATGGGGGGTACCTGTGGGATATAGCTGGTTTATGCCCTTCTTTTAAACCAGGAATGTCTTCATGGAGATAGGCCAAACCTTTTGCCATAGTTTCAGCTATATGACAGAGTTCATTCCATGAAACTACATTAGCCTTCAGGAAGTCAGTAAGTGAACCCTAAACAATAAATAGTATTTTTTATTTATAAATAGTATTTTTCACTTTACATCATATCAGTAAAGTTACATGTCATATTTAACTATAATTTTAGAACTAGGAATATACTTTTGTTACACAGCCAAAATAGAGAAAACACATGCTATGGAGAGAATATCCCATTTGCTATTCTAGAACCTGGGATATCCAAATTTTATTGAAATGTTTCTGTGATTTGAGCTTGGAGGGGAAGAATGAAAATACAGGATAGGTTTCACACAACATCAATATTAATTAAAAAAAGAATTCAAAGTAATATTTCATTACCATGATAGAAATAATTCAGTGGGCATTCTTTTAAACATATGGGAGGACAATGTTTGAGGAGTTGGGACTACAGGAGGTTACCTGTGTCATCATAACATACAATGGCATTTTTTTCTCGGTCTTGATTTTTCTCCCTCCCTACCCAAAAATGTTTTACAGGAGGACATGGAAGAAGACGACCTCTGGAAGGCAAATTACTCCCATCCATACTTTGAAAAATGGTCTGAAATCACTGCCTTGTGTTGAATTCTTTCCCTTTAAAATTTAATATTGATCTTAAAAATAAATCTAGTAACGTTTCACAAGCTTAAAAATTTGCCTCAAAATCTGCTTCCTTTGGAAAATATTCTATTTGTACACAATGAAAAGTTCTAACAGTTATCACATGAACTATCACAATTAAGTCGTCACCTTTTCATGAAACGCTGTTATTAGCCACAAGTCAACATCAATACTAGTGCCTCGTTTCTCAGCACCAATGAACTGTAGTATATTTTCATGCTTCATTCCTGGTAAGCTGTATATTTCATATTCATTTTGCCATGATTCTTTATCCTGGAACAAAAAGAATCATATTAATATATTTTTTAAAAAATATTAAATTATTAGTCTACATATTCAAAATTATTTCAAATAATCAAAATCATATCTGATATGCTATGAAATTTGCCCAAATGCATGGGGTGATGGCCAAAAAAAAAAAAAGATGGAGAATACACATGTCTTGGTTTGACTGGCAAATTCACATTAACAGAGGACTCTTGCTTCTAGCAATTTCTGAACTGTGCACAAATCTTCAGAAATTCTGTCAAAAAGATTATTAAATTGAGGCCAGACAAGTTTAGATAATTCTCTTAGATCAACAACTAATAATATTTGGCAAGCAAGTTCTCTGGAATAATGGTAAGGATTTTTCCTGATTTGCTTCATCAAATAAATATAGACAATGAAGTGAGGTTAATAATTCAATTAGGTTCATCTGACAGTAAGACAGAATTAAATCAGCAATTTTCTTTTTCTTTATCTGGTTATTTTCCCCCAGATTCTATAATGTTTTTCATGCTGCTGGTAAATAGCTGGCACATAATTCATAAATAGAAATAGCAATGTGTTTAAATAAATATTATAATTATTTCTTATTATAGTTTTTAATTATGGACCTCTCTGCTCCATAGGGGGAAAAACCAATCATAGGTCAGGCACAGGACAATGTAATGGCTGTAATGGCAATCATGAGACTTGGGGATGTTGCAAAAGTTGTAAATGGGCCATAAAGTTATTTTTTCAGCACCATCATAACTTCAAACAATCGCTAAATAGAATAGTTGGTAAGTGAGGACTATCTTTATTGGTCTGAGATTGTACATAAATTATCTGATTTGAACGTATTTTGATAAGATGATTCCCCCTGGTTTTTATTAGTATTTAAATCCCAAGCCTGTTATTACAAATGGAATTATTTCTTCACCCATCAGGATGGATGTCTCACTGGATCATTAACGATATCCTTTATTTCCTTTCACATTTTACTTACTCTCAAAACCACTGGAATGTTTTATTAAGAATCATATGACATTTAGACATATTTTGAGATATCACCTGATTTCCTCGTTATAACAGTATTTTTAAGAACATTGTAACATTTCATAGTACAATATTTGGTTGTTCATATACCTGCACTGGGAATATTTTCACAGCAACGTATTCATTTAACAACTGAGCTTTCCAGACACAGCCAAATCTTCCTCTAGCTCTGATCTCTAGTAACTGCAATGGCTTTAGGCCCATCAATGGTGATGGAGGTGGTGGTCCAGGATCCTAAAAATAATCACAGTCAACAAAAGTTATTTATTTTAGTATAATCTCATTCACCAATTCAAAAACAACAATTTAGAAAGCGAATTATATCAACAAAACAGAATGCAAACAAAAATGTTAATGTCTCACAATTTTTAAATTAATTTTCAATTCTTTCTCAGCAAAAATAAAGCGAATAAAACTAACACTTAAATTGTATGGTTCCACATAAAGACATGCATACAAAATATGGAAGGAATTAAATTTCTTGAAACTAATCCAGTATTTTTAATCTCTACATATGGTCAATAGAAGTGTTTTTGCAACATATATCTACTAAAATTTTTATGAAAAATACTTTATCTAAATGAAGAAACTGTAAACAAATGTTATTAAATACTCTATTTTTAATGCAATTATTCTTATATAGGATATCTATATGCTTCATGCAACCTGTGGTTATTGCTTGCGCACATACAGAATTCCTGAGGATCCATTCCTACTTTACCAACCCAGCTATTGACCCAATATCATTTGAAAGATGGGGAAATCAGTTTTTGTAGTTAAAAAGGTAAAGGTAAAGGTTCCCCTGGCACGTATGTGCTAGTCGTTCCCAACTCTAGGGGGTGGTGCTCATCTCCATTTCAAAGCCAACCTTCCCACCAAAGGTGGTCCCTATTTTTCTACTTGCATTTTTACGTGCTTTCAAACTGCTAGATGGCAGAAGCTGGGACAAGTAACAGGAGCTCATCCCATTACCCAGCACTAGGGATTTGAACCACTGAACTGCTGACCTTTCGATTAACAAACTCAGCATCTTAGCCACTGAGCCACCGCATCCCTTATTTTTTCTATTTAAGAACTACTTAACTTTATTAGCATTTATTTATTATAAGCATTACAAGAAAGATTTAAAGTCATCTATTATGACAATGCTGATTGGTACCTTAAAGGTACTTATGTGTGATTATATTTCCTGGTCCTCACTACTTCATCTACTTTGATGAATACTAAAGCATCTATAGGATGTAAACAGAGTGAAGTGAACTATGATGAACTGGCCTCAGTTATAAGTTGTAAGTGTACAAGTTACAAGTTACTTTAGTTCATATGAAGTCGTGTTTGGATGCGCCCCCAGGGAAGCCCACTGCCTCTGGATAAGATCCAAAAATAACGGAGGCACTGGAATTGCGTCCGTCTCTGTGGCAGTCTCTGAAAAGAGCAGCTCAGCCCGATCCTGTTCTGTCATAGTCCCCACTGGCCTCGTGTCTGCTGTGTCCAACTTAGTTGAGGCCTTCGCTTTGAATAATAAGGCCTTGAACAAGTGGAGGTGGAACAACCCCTTGAAAACAGATTGGTCCAGTAATAGGCCCTCCTCATCCGACAGCTCCTGATCTAATTGCCCTTCATCAAAGGATAGAGAGTCGTCGGTCCCAGACAGTGAGGCTGAAGAGGAAGAAAAAGCAGTGCTCTGCTGAGACAGCATCTCCCTCTGCGCTGAAAGGGCCTGGTGGGTACCCAGAGTTGGTGCCTCTGCCTGTAATGCTGACCGTCTATGCTGTTGTCTGCCGGCTTCAAAGCCGCGCAGTACTGCCTCTAAGATCCATTTCTGTACCATATCTGGCGTATATGTGGCTCCGCCCCTGGATTGGTGTTCCACCGCCTCCACTGGAGTAATAGAGACTGCAGGGGAAACTGTAGTTCCCCTGTATACCTCGGCACCTGACGGCAGTGGGGATAACGAAAGTGAGGCTCTAATACTAGTGGAAGGGCCTGGCTCCACCAACAAATCCCGATCCAAGGCCGGTTTTGCCACCTGCTGCGCAAGGCCTGTTCTGGTCTCCACCTCCCCTTGGGGGCAGAGGTGTTTGCGCTTCTCGATCACCTTTGCTCCCTTCTCTATCTGTTTCTCTAAAGCTTTTTGCAGCCGCTTTTCAGCCTTCTCCTGAGCCTTAGATGGTCTCCTAAGAGATATGGCCTTGGCCTTTATTTTGGCCGCTGTCTCCTTGCTCCCCCTCTTCGCTTTATGATGGCTGCATTTGGAGCCTCGCCCATTAGTGCTGTGGGGATGAGATCCCTCACCCAACTCCATCAGGTCGTTAAATGACTCTTCAGATGTCGTCTTAATGTGAGTCTGCCCCCTTTGAGAGCAAATGCTAGTAGTGTCATCGAACTGAAGCCTCAGTCCAAGGTAGGGTCTGTCTAGCAAAAATGCTGAAAACTGCTTATCTCAGTAGCCTTTTCAAGCAGGATGCAATGGGGAAAGCCACAAAGGCTCTCTAGTCTGTGGCACTTACAAATCCTTGACTCTGATGTCAACGAGCCGTACTCCGCTGGCTGCTGCTGCAGCAAAGCAGCCTTCAGCGGGCGAAAGAGACAATTGCTTTCTCCTGTCTGATTAAGTATCGAGGCTGAGCCTTCAAGGCTCCTAAGCGGGCTCGGGCCAGTGCCCTTCACGCTCCTAAATTTGAACTTGGGCCTGCTGGAAGTCAATTGGAGACTGCTGTCTCCCTAAGTCTGAGCCGTGCCCAAGGGCTGGAAACCAGGCCCTTCTGCCAGCCATTCCTCAGATTCAAAAATAATAAGAACTGCAAATATTGTCAATCTGGGACAAAATGGCCACGATCACTGCTCCCAACGGCTCTGGCAGCTGTTTCGCGCCTAAATGCGCACCGCACCAAAGCCACAGTGAATCTAGGCCTACCTGCGTGCCCTGGTGCCTGTCGCAGCTTCCAAACGCTGCAGCCGCTTGCCACCACCCCCGCACCGCTACTTAGCTTCTTTGTAGTCGTCGGGGGTGTGCTGGAACAATCCGCCCCTTTCCCGGGGTTCTGGCTGAATCCGCTGTCCAGCTGCAGTTGTTCCTTGTCCCAGAGGCTCAAAAATGGTGGTTCCCGTCGGCAGCAACCAATGGGCCTGCCTGGCCTGCCAGCTGCTTTGCGCCGATCCCCAGTGTGAAAGAACGCCACAGCCTTCTGAAGCCTAAAACTCTTCTTTTTCAAATTCTTCCAACAATCCTCTAATCTGTTACCAACTCCTATTTATCATGGAGATCATTCAAACCTTGTCTCAACTGCTCAAGACTGAGTTGAAACTGGGAGGGGCACCAGAGGGGCGTCTCTTCAAATTACAACCCAGTCTATAGAGCTAGAAGACAGAGTGAATCCCATGCCTGGAGCCTTCAGTCCCCTATCAGGAAAATTACATTTTTCTTCTCACACTCACTGAAGAGTGCCACTTCCCCCCCCCCCCGCTTTTATATAAGCTATCTAATTAGGCTGAAACTTTGCCTTTTGTCTTTTTTTCCTAAGCATACTACTATATTGCTTATACAAGTAGCCCTTGATTAACAATGATAAATGGAGCTTGAATTTCCATTGTTAAGTGAGGATCCTGGGTTGTTTAGAAAGTCTCAGGCAGCTAGCTAGCAAGCAGGCTGCCAGGAATGGCAGAGCAGGGCTGGCTCCTACAAGGTTCATGGGTGGCTTGTGTGGCAAACAGTGGCTACTGCCAGGCAACTTTCTGGAGCAACTTACGGCCTTCTGTATCAGTTTTCCTGGTGTCTCAGTCATTAAATGAAGTGGTCACTATGTGAAACATCAAATTTTAACTTCAATTTTCCTTTGCTTTACGTATTTACAATGGTTATAAATGTGAGGATTGGCTGCAAAGGTACTTTTTCATGACAGTTGTAACTGAGAACAGTCATTAAATGAGGCAGTAGCTAAACAAGGACTAACTATAATCCTGCCTATGCCAATTTAGTCCCACCATTCCAAATAGTAATATGAAATAATAGTAGAAAAAATGTGTTTAACAAAGCAACAGAGAAAGTATTAAATGAATACTGCTCCAATTCAACAGGCTGCCTGATGAACTCCACATATTAATGGGTCTTCAAGATCTGGTTCCTAAAAGGAAATCTACCATGTCTATTACTTCTGATTTTAAAGAAACTCAAAAATAGACTGATACAGCATGCAGGTTTACTATTTAATATCCCAGGATATTTTCAGTCCTTAATTGTGCATGATGTAACTCTCTGAACCTTACAAATACATTATATTTTGAGACAGAGAACTGATTTTGAAACAACAAAAAATAAATGGATGTAAAAACCTTTATCATTCAAATTTCCAAAACAAAATGCAAAACATTTTTCTCTTGCATATGCAGATTCTTCATCTTAACAGACATCCCAATGATTGTTATGAAGAGGTTTTTATGTCAATTTGTTTATATGAAGTCCAGTATCACATGAATATACTAGGCACTGTATTAGATTTTTCCACTCAAGCTAATGGAATATCACAATGTTTGCTATAATAGGCTATCAAATTGTTTTTGATGCTGACATGTTATACTGTAGAAAATCCAATAAATAAAGAATCCAATACTTTTGGATACAAATAAACATCTTTTCCAAATGTTACTCTTATAGGCAGTTTGTAACTTCACAAATGTATGACTATAAATAAAACGGTGCATCTTACCTCTATCATTATATGAAAGGCATGCTTGTAAAAAAACACATACACACAGGCAAAAGGGAATTATTTCATATAATACAAAGGAGATACAAGTGCATCTTAGGAAAAGTGAGTGTCATCAGTAACTAAGTTATAAAATTCAGCATGCATTAGATTCTCAAATGTGTACTTCCTTGACCTTCTTTTTTGACAATAAAAGATAGCGATAGTGTTTATTATATCTATAACTGTCTTATTTGAACATTAAAAGTTTTGTAACCAAATGCTCAAAATAGTACAAAAACTGATTTCCATAAGTATAATATAAGTAGTTAGAAGGCACAGAGAAATGTAGTATTATGTATTATGTAAATGTAGTATTAAATGTAGTTATTAAGATATTGGTTATGTTTTAAACAAAGTAACTGTGCATAAAATATAAGTTGGTATATTACACAAGAGGGCAGTGTTGCATCATCTAATCTACGAACTACAAAGCATAACAGTGAAACAAAACACATTACCCTCATCCTAATCTTACTTCATTTAACCATTAAACTTGCTAAACATAGTTCATTTTTCAATAATATTTTTGGTAGCTAATTAATTCTAGAAATATCACCCTTCCTTCCTTTTAATCAGCTGCTTTCATTTGGAAATATCAGTATATAAATTAACATTTAATTAACTTTTATTTTAACACTGATGAAAGACCTCAATTTTTTTATTTTTTAAAAGTGGAGGCAAACCTTATTAGAATATGCAAAATTATTTACTGATATATTGAGGAAAATGCTTTATAAAATATAAAATTCACTAAAAACCAATAGCAAAACGAAAACACAAGGAGACAGGATTGGGAGGAGAGATTTCTTTCATCAACATTCATACCAGCCCGTGATTCTACCCTCACAACCCCTCTACCTGAGTTCTTTCCCAGATGAAAAGTACTCAGGTAATGCTGCGGTCACCACCTTTTCTAGAATAGAGACCTGTCCCATTTACCAGGAATTGGGATGGGCTAAACAGAAAATCTCCCTTCCCTTCCTCTTAAAAATGCCTCCAGATTTTCCTTTTAAATCAACAAAGTAGTCAACAAGAAAGAAGGATTTTTATTTTAATAAAAGCAGTAAGTATTTGAAAGAACAGTTTAGATACAGCAAGTTGCATAAGGCAGAGATCTGTGTTTAAAATCCAGTGTTTGCTGATCCGCAAACACTCAAAGCACACAAAAGTATAGATAACGGGAACAGATGCAAAATTACTTCCCAATCATGTGTGCCTCACTGAGCAGAAATTAAGATAAGGGGATGGGATGGGAAAATCATCACTCATATGATAAACATTCCCTGTCAACCTTATTACTGTAGTTTCTATTCTTCCAAGACGCTAATAAACAACTCCTGATATTCTCTTCTCTTGAATCTCCTCCTCCTAAATAAAAAAATATTTAAAGGTCCAACCAGATAGCCAGCAGGTCACTCAGAATGAGGAGTTTCCTTAATCCATTATATTAACACTAACTGTGCAAAATCAGAAATCTTCAGCTTTATAAAGGCAGTCTCTCTGATGAGGAAAAATATACAAAATGAGAGAAAGAAATCCTCCTTTACTTCACATGTGCAAACATCTGGATTAAAATAAGTCATTTTTTCCCCTAATGATTCATATTGGTAATGGGATCACATAAATAACCGAAACAATGATAACCATATAATAAACTGTCCTGACAGCAAAGTCTGTGCAAATTCTTCAGAAATAGAAGTTGGCAACGCACTGCACTGCATTCAAAGGACTTTGAATATGTGACCACAACTTTTGTCGGGTTTGCATGGCTGCTTTGAAAGCTACTCCCACCAAGCTTTATTCACATATGCCTGCCGGTTTGCAAAGTGAAATAGTAAAACCAGGCCATATTGGGCAGGGGCAGTTTCTAATGCACTGGTTTTGATAATTTGAAGAGGAGTTTTGATCCCCTTTCAAAGGAGTTTCATAGCCTGATTGTACAGTAAAACATAAGGTAGTGCTTAGCAGCCCAGCATGCAAGATCTCATTCAAAGTGAAAAGAAATTATTTCCAGTGCTTATCAACTTCTTGATGTCAGGAACATCTGACATAAATAACAAAAATTCAGTGGAGTAAATGATTTGCATTTGTGTGAATATGTCTAATAAAATATGGCATTCCAAATATAGGTGTAAAATTAAATAGAAGCTGAGTAACTGTGCCAACTGCTCCAAATACAAAAGGATGATAAAGAAGTACTGAATTCATCTAATCTGGCAATAAAAAAGTTGTTAAGCACTACAATAATTAGACTTTTAAATTGGAAGATACTGTTTTTCAATGAATACCTTGCAAACTTCAGTGTGATGGTACCATTTTCTGAGGAGCTAACCAGATACTGCTATGCAATCCACTGGTTTTAAAGTCTATATATACTTTCTAAATATTAGTAATATATTAACCTATGCTAATTGTTTGGTCAAATAAACCAAATAAGTATGCTGAATTAAGGTTGACAATCAATTTGTAATAAAACTATATAATCTACTATAAAAATAATTCTTAAAAGTTCTACCATGAAAATGTCTTTCTTATGGGGAGTTCTTTGGATAAAAGAATTCATAGCACTGGCAATAATGTATTTGTTGGAAGAGATATGCTTGCAGGAGAAATGGCAATTCATTTAACAAGCCTGAGAGCAGGATGATGACAGAAGAGTTAATGCCACAATTTGGAAAAATGAGAAAGTGGAATATCTGACAGCATAATATGAGAAAATTGTAAGAAGGTTTCACAGAAATAGTATTTCTAATAAATTCATATTGCAACATACTAAGAACAATAAATGGAAATTATGTTTTTAAATTAATAAGACAAAAATGGCAACTTAAAATATTGTTCGGCAGGAATTGGGATTTTAGAAGGAGATTTAAATAAACTGAAAATATCTTAATCCTCAGCTTAATTTCAGATAGGACTGACTGCAAATAGAACATGTAGAAAAAAATAATCAAATTTATCGTTTTGGTAGATAAAACTATGGGTGGATCAGAATATGGAGCACGTTTAAGGTGCCCTTCTTTTTTCATATAGCAAATGAGTTGCTTGGTACACAGTATTATTCTCTTTCCTTGATCAAAGCAATGCAACTCACAACTTCTCTGCTACAGAAATAATAGAAAGGGTGTCCTTTCCAAATCATTGCAACAAGAAATATCTTGTGACATGAAGATGGCCAAATTCTTATTGCCTAACACTAAATGAACCAAGTTAATTTTACCATTACTATTTTAATTATAACCATGAACCATTTACGATAATTTGTTTCCAAAAATACAAACTAGGAAATAAGCTCAGTCACATTTAAAAGAACACTAAGCATATCACTCTCAGAAATAAACCCTAGTTGCTAGTCCATTTGGGTTTTTAACTTTTTTATTCACTGACTAGTAATTGACAAAGACAAAAAACTGCATTTATATACATGGGACAGAAAATGGGCAATGGCTCCTATGCTTGAACTCATTATTCCTCTTCTGTCAGTACAAGAAATGCCTAGTGTTCTATAGTTGTTTAAATGAAAAGTTTAATTTTAATTGACAAATTTTATTTTTCAAATTACATCTTCTGAAACTATTTGATTCATAAAAAACAGCTTAATAAGGTGTGTATGTATGTGTGTATATATCTATAATCATATAATATAGCAAAGAGATGTTTCTGCTTAGTTTAATTATATTTTCAAAGTAGTAAAAAATAGTAACTGATAAGCTAATTTTTACTTACTTCATAAAAGAAAAAGGAACCAGGAAAATGATGAAACCTTCTTACAATTTTTGTGCGCATAAGGAACCAATTTAAATTAGAGTTGCTCACTAAAACATTTGGATGAAAATTATATAAGCAATTTCTCTATTATTTTTTGAATGGGTCATACTGTAGTCGCTATATGACTCAAATCAGTTCATTTTGCAGCATTTAGTACTGACAGCTATTTAATTACTTCCATGGATATAAAGATAACTTCAAAGATTCTGCATTATGTTTCACAACAGGGTAGATGTTACTATTATGGATATAGATAGGATTATTTTGGTAAAAAGCTGTAATGGTTGGCCTGCCCTATCTCCTTTCATTTTTACAAAATATTTTAATATTGAATACACTGATTTCCCAGTGGCAGGATCTGTTTGATCTTGGTTGATCTTGAAAAACTCAGGAAGTTCAGACCTGGTTAATACTTGGGAAATCAGAAGGAAATTTAAGGGCTGACATAAAGAGTGGAAAGTGTGTGTGTGTGTGTGTGTGTGGCGGGGGGGGGGGGGGGAGAACAGAATAAGCCAATGGCAAAGCATTTTCTAGAATGTGGCCAAGAATATAATGTAAGTATGTCCATGAAGTCAACAGGCATTAAGCTCCACTCATGAGACTTGGTTTCGTTACTGATATGTTAGTTTTACTTTGCTTTTCCTTTTTTAAATTGTATTATTCTTTTATTACAAATTATTTTGGATATTCTTTCTAAAGATTATACAAACCTATGTTTACAAATAATTCAGATTATTCTAAATAAATCAGTTTTTTCAACTTCATAAAAGTGAGCCTTTCAAGGGAATTTTTTCAGCTAAAGATTGCTTATAGCATGAAGAAATGTCCTTGTAATCAAATTTATGTATCACTGTCTATATCTACTGCAAATATGTTGATAATCTGATTTATACTCTACATTCATAGGTTTATATTAGAAGTTCCATGTCTAGTCAGATCATGATTTTTCTGCTCAAACTCTTTTATATTGTACTCTGAATCCACTGAGTTTTAACAAACACTCATGTATAATGGTATTGATAAAAATGGTAATGCTAAAATTACAATTATGGAATATACACACAAGAATTTATAAAATGATCACATGTGTTGTACACAGTTCCTTGTAATGATTATATAATATGACTGGTTGCAGCACTTTTCACACTTCATTATATTGAAACCTCTCTGCAGTTGCTGCTGCACACAGATACCTTTCTGTAAAGTCAAGGGAATCCTTAAGTAGTGTGGACCATGACATGGAAGGTTTGCAGTGGATTAAATCAGATATTTATTGACCTTCATCTCTTGTGACTTTGGAATCCAACATTCTGCTTATCATTACTTGTTATATTAATCTAACATAAACTACTACTTCAAAGTGCATGCAACATTTAAATGTTTTAAATGTAATTTATAATTTAGTTATGTTAAAAGATGTAGCAAAACATTTCTGGTTTCCAAAGATACTTTATCTGTATTTTAAATATACCTTTATCAAAAAATAAGGATCAAGCAGAGAAAGGGGGGAAAAGAAAGAAAGAGAATTTAAGATAGCTACAGTATGAGTCTATCTTTTATTTAATTTATTTAGCTCTATAAACTTTTATTCATGTACTGAAGTACATAAGACCATTTAAAATAAATTATAAAATGTAAAACAACTTCTCTTATAATTATTTAAAAATCCAATCTAGTACAAAATAAGTGGTGCAAATTCAAATTATTGTATTGACATTTTCACCACATAAAAGTAACTTATTTTGATCTCACTTCAGTACAAGTAGTTCATATTTTAACAATTTAGTATTTTTCCTCAACTGATATTCTAGGCTTTCACTTTACATTTTTTAAAAAGTAAATTTTATATGAGAATGTTTATTAAGTGTGCATGTACACTTCTATATAAGTTATGGATATTCATAAAATTCTTCTTAAAAATAATTTTGAAATATAGCCAAGTTCAACAAGGACTGTCATTCCTAGATTTTCTAAACAATAGGATCTACTGCAGAATGCCAACAAATTACAATGGAATCTGGCAATATTATTCAAATGCCAATTACCTTCTGCAGTCATTCATAGTGCAAATGTCCATCCAAAAAGAAGCCTTGAAACATACAGCTCTACATGCAAAACAGTTCCTTCCAATAGCAAGGTACTGACTTACATAAACACCAATGCATGGGCAGCAACAGGCATGAAGGCTTTTTTCTTCCTGACATAATTTGAATGGTGATAGGGCTGAATTGCTTTATTTAGATACCTGAACAAAACTAGAATACAACTGAATATTCAAAAATTGTTATTTCAAAATAATTTTTCCAAATAATGAGAAAAACAAGAGTTTTCCTAAATTTAATGTGTATAATTTACATCCTGTTACCATAGATGAGTAATTTTAAAACATATCATGTACAAATCATAAAGTTCAAAATATTTACTTTAAGCTGTGCCTTTTGCAAAATGTCTGATGTAGGATGCTGACAATCTTTTTATGAATTGTGGAAGAGAGAAACAAAACCAATTTCAACTAATTTATTCCCCTAGCTACAGACTCTCAGATCATATGCCAACAGTTTTCCAAAAATCTTCAAAAGGTCAAATAGCAACCATCAAAAGTAACAAGTCTATATTGACTTGAGAAACCTAACAAAAAGATGGGATATAAATCTGAAAAGAAACAAATCTACTTCCATTCAAAATAATGCACTTACTTGGGTTGGTACAAGTACTGGAGGATATGCTAATTTGTGATGTCTGTACATCCAGAATGAAAAGAGTACAATCACTGCTATTCCCATTATAGGTCCAAGAGAGTAAAGCAATGTACTAAACAGGGGTGGTTTAGTTGTCACAGGATTGGAAGTAGCTGCAGGGGAAAGAAGATTTCTTATAATTCAGTATTAACACAGAAAATATAAGCAATTCTTAAAAATTGAGGACATTTAAGCTATCTATACATTAAAGTTATCTATGATACATCTGAAGCTTAAATGTTTAAATTTTAGGTTTGCATTTAAGATCATAGTATTTTGCCTATTCTTGTAGATGAGCAGACTGAGCTGAAAGGCAGGCTTAAATGTATCATCAGTTTGGAATCATTGCACAGCCACAAGAAACCCAAATCCTGCTCCGCAGAATTCCATTGATCCTTATCTAGCACCAGCTTTGACCATTAGTTGACCAGATTATTGTATATAGGTAGCAATAATAATCTTATCAGTGCTTTGAATTCAGTGAATGTTTTCAGTTCTTTGCACCTGACAATTGTAGTCATTGTAATTTAGTAATAGTCTTTCTTGGATGCAACCATCAGGCAAGGGTTTCCAATCCCCGGGCTGCGGCCCACTACTGGGCCTTGGCCTATTCGAAATTGGGCCACACAAATGGCTGGCTGGAGCACGAAGGCAGCTCAACTTGTCTGAGTGGTGGGATGGCACGCCACACATGCAAAGGCTGCATGTGTGCCCAGGCGTGTTGGCATGCCACTTGTGCGGCCCAGTTCCCCTCTTCCCTCCCAGCCGGGCCACCAAGCCACAAAGGTTGGGGACCGCTGATATAGATTATTGTTGGGATATATAAGGTCAAAATTCAGCAATGCTTTTTCCAATCTAATCCAATTTCATATGGTCCTTGTATTACAACCATTCACTTAATGACACTTCTGTGATGGAATGAGCATCTGGAGAAACAACGGAGGAGAATCTTGGTAGCCCAGAGGTTTCACAGCAGTACATTCCGGAAAAGCCAAAATTAAGAGACTGCAAATTCCCAAATTAGATGGGGTGGGGTGGGAGAATAACTTTTAGAGTAGCAACACCTTAGAATCTCTCGGGATATATCTATTAGAGAAGTGAGTTATAGCTTTAGTTTCTGTCCACTAGGTGTAAGCAAATAAAAGATTGGACTTGATTGGATTTCACTGTGCGGTCTTTGGGCTTGGGCCTGACAGATTCAAAATTATGATAAGCTCAGAAAAAAATGACTTATCACCCATCCTTAAAGACCACCACACCAGCTCTGCAGTTATTTATTTATTTATTTATTAAATTTATATACCGCCCTATTCCTAAGGGACTCAGGGCGGTGAACAGCGAACAATAAAAATACATGTAATACAAACGTTAATAAAAAAAAACCAATTAAAATATACTAAACACTCTGGTCCTAGATAATTCAAGACATCCCAGTTTAAAATAAAATCAAAAAGCAATATAAAGGGAAAGTTAGGCCAGGCCGGCCTGCTGAAACAGGAATGTTTTGAGGGCACGGCGGAAAGTGCGCAGATCCGGAATCTTCTGTATCTCTGGGGGGAGCTCGTTCCAGATGGTGGGTGCCCTCACAGAAAAGGCTCTCCCCCTGGGGGCTGCCAGTCGACATTGTTTGGCTGACGGCACCCTAAGAAGCCCCTCTCTATGGGAGCGTACTGGGCGGTGAGAGGCTATTGGTGGCAGAAGGCGGTCTCGTAGGTACCCCGGTCCTAAGCCATGGAGCGCTCTAAAGGTGGTAACTAAGACCTTGAAGCGCACCCGGAAGACCACAGGGAGCCAGTGCAGCTCGCGCAGGAGGGGAGCCACATGGGAGCGTATATATGATCGTATTTGGGTGCTTGGCAACCAGCTCAAATTTATTATGGTTGCAGCATCTTGCAGTCATATGATCACAACCTCTGACTTTCAACAAGCAAAGTCAACTGTGAAAGACAGATTCACTTAACTGTGTGATTTGCTTAACAAGTATGTGATTTGTTTAATGACAGTGGTGATTCCCTTAACAAGTATGGTAAAAATAGTTGTGAAGTTGGGTCCAGTCATGTGGTGCCTTGATTTATGATCAGACCGACCTTCAATGGAAATTCTGATACCAAGTGTGGTTGTAAGTCAAGGACTACCTGTATTGTTTAGTATTGTATCTAACCAAGGCTGCTGTCTCCAGGTCCTTTCCTATGTTTTCTCATTTACAATTATTATCATCCAATGAGAATAATAGAAAAATACATGTTATCTATAAGCATGTTCAATATTTAATATAGGTTTTAAATTCTAAACAAATTTCTCTGCAGGATTCTTTTTAAGAAGAGTTATATCACATACGTTGTGTGACCTCCATCTCTGGAAAGTAGAAAAAATGTTCATTGCACATGTTGCCCTCACAGCAGCAGAAAAACACTTCAGGGCTATCTTTCTTTTCTATACAGTCAGTTCTGAAAGAGATTAAAATCAGTTAAATATTAAACTGGTACAATTATATTTTAAAAATCCAGCAAAAATTGCTGAGTAAATTAATACAGAATTTAAAAGGTTGGCATTCTGGAATCTACATCTGAATATCTGAGTAATTATAATTTTGTGCAAAAGTATATCAAACTTTCATTTGGCTTCCATAACGAAAGGGAACAATACAAAAGGTACTACATAAAAAGCAGCACAAATCACACACATTTCATCAAAAGAGTGATACCAGTAGACTGCCTATTGCTTCTTATAAAATGGTTGCTAATCATGCTAATCTGAAGCATCTCTTAAAATAAAGTACAAGTCTTCTACACATCTAACATTTGAGCTTCTTGCTTTTCACTTTGAGAAAAGGCCTGCAGGAAATTTATAGATAAAATATAGAAATGACTGGCGCTTCAGTTCTCTCCCAATTTAAAGTTATGACTCCCAGTAGCATTTCAGCCTAAATTTAATACTGTATTGCATTAGCTGCAACCAATGCAGTTCATGCAATTAGATAAATTATGCAGGGACTGTCTCACCCGTCAGATCTGTGGATCTGAAGAGTTTTCTCCACACTAGATTAGCTCAGCACTAGTCTGTTCCAATTTGATTATCCAATCAAATGGAAAAATGGACCTTTACCCTATCTTTATTTATTATGGAAAAAAACAATCCTCCAATGTTGTTTTGGCTATTATTTATCAACAAAGCCTCACAAAATGTACATAAAACTAACTAGCCATTTCTACACAGAAGAATTAAAACAGAAATACCTAAAAAGTAATGTGGCAATACCCCCAAACAATGAAGGATCATTCTATCACTTACCTTAAGGAATTTGTTTGGTATTTTACTCTGTATAAATTTTGTGTAATAGCCTATGCTTATACACATCATCAAATGTCTATGCTTTTGAAACAGATTAAACTTTACAAAACAGAAAATATATGAAAATAGTCGTGTTTGCTTGCCTGTCATAACAATTAATATCATCCAACCAGCAACCCTTTTTCACAATTTCAATAGATCCAGAGATATTCTTCCATGTTGCAAAGCAGTGTCTTCTTTTATCTTTGTCACCATAGCACAGTTCAATGCCACTACGATTTGTCTTATCATTTTCCCAATTAGCATTGTAGAAGATGCATTCCTGTGTTTCTGATCTGCCTAGTATGGCACCTGCAAGGAATTGGTTTTAAAGAATTAAATTCAGGGTAACCTTGGAAAAATAATAAAATACTAAGAACAAAACTGTATTTAAAATGTCTTGCAATCCTTATTACACAAATATGTCTGCATCTCAGTATGGCATATATTCCTTTTTTTCCCTTAAGGCAGAATAATAGTTGCTTTTATTTACTATTTTTAATTTAGTAATGCAATTGTTTTGGATGTCAAAACTCATTGGTTTCTGATATTCATAGCAAAGGTATCTGTAATAATTGCTCTCTTAAGAAACAAGTAAAGTACAATTCTATCTCTAAAATTACATGACTTGCCAATCTAGTGAAATCTCTTTGCTATAAAGGATGTTATTTCATTTTGGTGGAAGAATATAATCTAATACAGAAATATCATCTCCTATTTTCCTGTAAGATACTGAGGAATTCTAATAATTCCTCGTGCCATGTAAAACAGAAAACAAAATGCACACTATATTTCTTGTCCTCTGAAATTCTAGCATAAAATCAATGAACATCTATAAATGCAGGCATAAGCTTAAAATAGTTGGCAGCTCTTTAATACTGAATCTAAACTATGACATTACATCCAATAATCTATATTAAAATTTTCTATATTTCTGTCTTCTATCTGTCTTTATATTTTTCATCAAAGCATATTTGCCTATGGCTATGTTAGGATCAAAACATGTTTCAGATACTCCATTTCAGTTTCTAGCCATCAATTTTTTTTTCATTTCAGGCAGGCAGAAGGGAAAGCTCTCTTACAACCTTTACATATGTAGGGACAATGTCTTATAAATACAAACTGTCAAGTTATCTGAATTCATATTTTCATTTGAAAGTCATTTAAACATATTTGACCAGACTTCATACTTCTAACATAAAATGTCATTAGCACACTGTATTTCATATTCATATAGAATTACTGCAGGCATACTGTGATTCTGCTAGAAAAAGGAAGAGAAGGACTAGACAAGAGGAAGAAGCAAAAACAAGAAACAAATTAAGCAGACGCAAGTGATTTATTTTCTATTTAATAAAACCCACAAAATGCAGTAGTAGATCTGCTGCAAATGGGAATAATGCAAAACGAATTAAGTGATACAATCTATATTTAAGTTACTACAAGAGCAAAGGTTCTAATTTCAAATCCTAAATGTATTTTTTAATAAAATTATTACAATCCTTATATTTGAAGACTCAAATACTTTAATTTTTTTTTGCAATTAAGGAAAAGGCTTTATAAACTGAATTTCTGAAAACTTGCACCGATTTCAGTGGAAAAAACGGGATGAAAAAAGCCTAAAAAATGGGCCGAAAAAAGCCCTGAAGACGGGTCGAAAAAGCCCCCCAAACAGGCCATAAAGCCTCGAAAGCAGGCCAAAAAAAGCCTCAAAAATGCCCCCAAAAAAGGTCTGAAAAAAGCCCAAAAGTGTGCGGAGGCCAAAAAATGGCTGGCGGGTGAGTGAGGCTTCAGCAATATTTGGTCTATAAGACGCACAGATATTTTCGCCCCCTTCTGGGAGACAAAAATGTGTGTCTTATAGTCCGAAAAATACGGTATATGTTTTTTTTAAAAGGAAAATGATTACCCAGGCAAAAACATAAAAATAAAACAAACCAAAAACTGTATAACATGTAAACACACATGTAAATCCATGAAAATATACATGTCCTTCTCTCTTTTTCTAACAGGAAGAGCAAATGAAACATGGAAATGTAGTAATTCAACAATTACCAGTTAAAATAGGAATAAAAATTTATGCCAGTGAAAAGATTTCTCAACAGTAGCAGTCATACATTATCTTGTAGTGATCAGCATATGTGGGATTAATTGGGATAGATTGTAGGGGTGATACCAAAATATAATTTTATCGTATTTTATTTATCTATATATTAAATTATTGTATTTTATTCCAATATGATTTTAAATTGTACTTTATTCCAATTTTATTTTAAATTGTATTTTATCCAATTCCATTGTAAATTGTTTTTATCAGATTTTAGTAATAATTTGTGTTTGGAACTCTGAACTTTGATATGGCCCAAGGGCTAATCCAGGGGTCTGCAACCTTAAAATTTGAAGAGCCATTTGGACCCATTTCCCACAGAAAACACTGGGAGTCACAAAACCTGGGTGAGCGTGGCCAACGCAACGTCATTCCCATCCAGTCACGTGATCCCCCTGCCAGCCACGCCCACCCAGGTTTTGTGGCTCCGGGTGTTTTCTGTGGCAATGGGTCTCTCTCCCGCCCTCTTGTTTTTCTTTTTCCTCTCCCTCTCGCTCCCTCCGTTTTTCTCTCCCCTCACTCATTTCCCTCTTTTCCCTCTCATTCTCTCCCTCCAGCTCTCATTTGTGTCCCTCTCCCTCTCTTCTTCTCTCATTTGTTTCTTTTTTTCCTCTTTCTCATTCTCTCCCTCCATCATTTTCTCATTTCTCTTTTTCCCTTTTCTCTCTCTCATCTATCTCTTTCCCTCCCTCTCTCTTCCTCCCCCCCTCTTGTGTTTGTGTGTGTTCCCTCTTGAACCATTTCCAAAAACAGGCGAGGGTTGGGGTTTTGTTTTGGTTTTTTTGCTGATGTTCTTTCTTCTTCTTTGGGTGCTTTTTACCATAAGATTTAAATCAAGAGTCATTTCAGGTTCCCAGATAAATGAAACTCTTTCGTCCCCCTGCTGTGGCTGCCTGTCAGCTGAACCCATCACTGGCTGGCCTGGCCCCTTTCCCGCCCCTCCCAGTCACTACTCGTGTGGCCCGAGAACGTAAGGGAGACGGCAGGGATGGAGACTCCCTCCATATTTGCAGGACCACCTCCTACCGGCCTCCCACCGCCCAGTGTGCTCTCATAGGACTGCCCTCCTCCGGGTGCCATCGGCCAGACAATGTCGCCTGTTGGCACCCAGGATGAGGGCGTTCTCTGTGGCTGCACTGACCCTCTGGAACGAGTTACCCACTGGACTCCGGATGGCCCCTGACCTCCGCTCTTTCCGCGGTGACCTGAAGACGTGGCTTTTTCAACAAATCTCCTGATCTGTTGGGGTTTTTAGTTTTAACTGTGGGGGATTTTAATTGGATTATTTTAGTATTCATTTTACTGTCTTGTTGTTTTATTGTTGTGAGCCGCCCCGAGTCCTTCGGGAGAAGGGCAGCATATAAGTATGATAAAATAAAATAAAATAAAATAAATAAATATTCCAGAGCGGGAGGGAAGCACCCCTGTACTTGCCTCTCCAGGGAGGTGGGTCCTCCATGGCCTGCTAGCTGCTCTCACAGCACCTTGCACAGCACACTTAAATTTAGTGCGCTTCACAATGAGGGATACAGCATCCCCTCCTCCTCCTGGAGCCCATTATGACGTAGAGCATTGGCCGCAGCCAGGCCAGACCAGTGTCTCAGGGCGGAGAGAAATTTGTGCGTCTCCCCAAGCAAACAAGGTGCGTGCAGCAGCAAGAAGTGCTGGAAAAAGTGCCCGTGAGATGAAACTGTCGGGGTTTCCATCTTTTTCATTGGATCTTCAGGCCTGCCAGAGAGGCAAGTACAGAGGCACTTCTCTCCTGCTCTGGAATATGGAGCGAGTCTCCATCCCCGCCATTGCCCTTACCTTCTCAAGCCACGCAAGGAGTGACTGAGATGGGAGGGCGAGGGACGGGGCCAGCCAGCTGACAGGGAGCCACAGCAGGGGGATGAAAGAGCCGAATGCGGTTCGGGAACTGCACGTTGCCGACACCTGGGCTAATCAATAAAGTAAACTAACTATGTTGTAGTGTATCCGGAAATAATGGAAGCTAGCATAGTTCATGTAAAACCAATGTTATAACATAACATTGTTATGTTACATTAACATAACATTATGTTATTTCTACAGACAGTCTTCGACTTACAACAGTTCATTTAGTGAAAGTTTGAAGTTACAATGGCACTGAAAAAAGTGACACGACCATTTTTCACATTTATGACCGCTGCAGCATCCCCATGGTCACGTGATCAAAATCCATATGCCTACCAACTGACTCATATTTATGACAGTTGCAGTGTCCTGGGGTCATGTGATCACCTTTTGCGACCTGCTGACAAGCAAAATCAATAGGGAAACCAGATTTACTTAACAACCATGTTACTCACTTCACAACTGTGGCAAGAAAGGTCATAAAAAAGGACAAAATTCACTCAACAAGTGTCTCACTTAACAATAAAAATTTTGGGCTCAATTGTGGTCATAAGTCGAGGACTACCTGTATTCTTTGTATCTAATAGGAGCTGCCACACTCTGTTTAGGTGCAATTTCCAAGTCATCTTTTAGGATACCTTCATTTAGTATATCTTACAGCAATATATAAAGCAAGTTTCTACAACACGAACTACTGTAGCTAGATTATCCTTTAGTAATAACCACCTAGAAATTCAATTCCTTATTATGCAGATAAAGGTAGCCCTTCACTTATGACCAAAATTAGGACAGGAAAATTCATTGTTAAGCGAGGTGAGTGTTCAGTGAGGCATGACTGCTGACTGCTGGCAGACTGCAGTTTGGCAGTTCAAGTCTCACCAGGCTCAAGGTTGACTCAGTCTTCCATCCTTCTGAGGTCGGTAAAATGAGAACCCAGATTGATGGGGGCAATCTCTCTAAGTGGTTTACAATCTGTAAACCACTTAGAGAGGACTGTAAAGCACTATAAAGAGATATATAAGTCTAAGTGCTATTGCTATCACATGACTGCACCAAATTGTATGACCTTTTCTGCCACAATCTTTAAACCAATCACCATAGTCATTAAGCAAGACATCATGTGATCACAATATATGACCTTCCCTGCTGGCTTCCACTTACTGACTTTATTTGTTGGAAGCTGGCTGGGAAGGTTGCAAATTGTCATCACATGACTGCAAGATGGATGCAGCGGTTCTAAATATGAGCTGCTGCTAAGTGCCCAAATAATAATCAGGTGACCACAGGTGTGCTGGGACAGCCAGACCTTTGAGGTCCTATATCACTTTTT